CGAGAGAGGAAACACATGGTATACGAGCACGTAGATACGAGCTTTCTGCCTCGCCACTTCCTGCATCTTCACCAGCTCTGCATTCTTTGCCCTCTGCGCCTCATGCTCCGCCTGCCAGGGGCGGAAAAAGGGGAATTGAGCAGGGAGTGAAAAGAGGTCAGCATGATAGAGGTCAGAATGAGAGAGGTCAGAATGGTGCTCCTGTATCACACTCGACTCCTCCTGCCTGCATAGCCACCGCGCTGCACCGCACTGCACATCGGAGGTAACGAGCAATCTTGACTCCTGCTGCATCTTCACCAGCTCTGGGTTCTTCGGAGGAGAGGAGAGGAAATGGGGGGGGGGGGGGGGGGGGGAGGAAAGGTGGGGGGGGAGGGGATGCATGTTGACCAGCTCAGCACTTGGCCACAGCACCCTCTGAACGCACCCATGCGCCATGCCCTCACAGCTTCTGCTGCTCCTCACACACGCGTTCTGTCCCTGCCGATTCTAAACACCAGAACACATCACAGCTCCTGCGGCTCCACACCCAAGCATCACCTTCTGCCTGCTGCTGCCCCTGTTTTCACCCCAACCACACTTGCCGGCACTCCACTTTCACCCCCTCACCTCTGCATCTTCTTGCGTGCGAGCTCATCCCCATACCGAGCCAGCTGCGCCTAGATCTGCGCCTGCTGCTGCGCCAGCTTCTGCTGCTCCTCGTGCATCAGCTTCTGCCGGTTCCCCCGCACCCCAGTCCCCACCCTCCTCACCTGCTCCCCTGCATTCCCGACCTTCTCACCTGCATCCTCGTCCGTGCGAGCTCGTCCTCATAACGACCCAATTGCGCTTTCGTCTGCGCCTGCTGCTGCGCCAGCTTCTGCTGCTCCTCGCACGTCAGCTTCTGCCTGATGTCAATGCACTGCACCCCAGTCCCCTGCACCCCAGTCCCCTGCCCCCCCCCCCGTTACCCCTTACCTGCATCCTTTTCCGTGCCAATTCATCCTCATAACGAGCCAGCTGCGCCTTGGTCTGCGCCTGCTGCTGAACCAGCTTCTGCTGCTCCTCGTACATCAGCTTCTGCCGCGCCGTCTCCTGCTGCTGCCGGTGCACCTCCAGCTCCGCCATGCGGGATTTCTCCTCCGCCAGGCGCACATCCTCCTGCTTGCGCATCAGCTCGAACACCTGTGGCGTAAACGGAAACGGAAAAAAGGGGCAAAATGGGGCAAAAAGGGGCAAAAGGGGCAAAAGGAGGCAAGCGGGGGTTCACTAAGGGATAAGAGGAGGAGCAGCGTCTCCTGCTGCTGCCGGTGCACCTCCAACTCCGCCATGCGGAACTTCTCCTCCGCCAGGCGCACGTCCTCCTGCTTGCGCAGCAGGTCGAAAACTTGGGGGAGGGGGGAGGGATAAGGGAATAATCGGGGAGCAAGAGGGGGGCAGAGAGAGGAGATGAGTGGGAAGGCAGAGCACGTCTCCTGCTGCTGCCAGGGGAGAAGGGGCGGGGGGGGGAGGGGGGGAATCATGGGGAGATGCGGGGGAAGCGCACGTCCTCCTGCTTGCGCTTCAGCTTGAACAGCTGGGGGGAGGAAGGGGGAGACAGGGGGATCAAGGGGGGCAAAAAGGGGAACACGATGGGGTACGGGGGGATAAGGGGGGACACGATGGGGATAAGGGGGGGATAACGGGAGGATAACGGGGGGATAAGAATGGGAACAAAGAAGGCATAAAGAACTGGCACCACGTGTCTGGATCTGCTAGGAGGACCGTAAAAAAATCTGGGCGGTACTGGGCACCCGCCCTTTGTAGGACGGAACTGGGCGGTATGCAGCTGCTGTTTAGAGTCGCTCCAAAACTGTTCTGAGGCGCCTTGAAAAGTCGAATCTGGAAGGTACGCAGGTCCTCTAGAGAGGGCGCCGGATAAGCAAGGGCAAGGGAGGAAGCACGAAAGGACAACCTGCCCAGGTTATCCCTTCCGGATCTGGAAGGAATGCAGCTCCTCTAGGGCAGGGGATCCTCCAGGGAGGAATAACGAAGGGATAACCTGCCCTAAGCGCCCCAGAAAAGGGGGTCTGGCTACTTACACCCTCAGCACCCCCAGCACCCCCAGCAGCACCCTCAGCATCCCCAGCAGCACCCTCAGCACCCCCAGCAGCACCCTCAGCACCCCCAGCAGCACCCTCAGCACCCCCAGCAGCACCCTCAGCACCCCCAGCAGCGCCCTCAGCACCCTCAGCACCCTCAGCTGGGAGCTACCAGACACGTTAATCTCCATGTGAAGCGCGTGCCATGCGGTATCCAACATCCGTAGCACTAGCAGACTTGTTAAAAACCCTCAGAGCCTTGGCGCCCCTAAAAACATGTGTGTTGGATCTCCAAAATACACTTGTTGCGTTAAGAGACTCGTTCATCTCACAAGACGTTCGACAACCCACTTGCTTAGCGCTAGCGGGCTTGTTGATCTCCCTCAGAGCCTTCGCGTCCCATAAACATGTGCGTTGATCTCCCTCATAAGCTTGCTGCATTACGAGACTCGTTCATCCCACAAGACGTTTGACACCTCACCTGCTTCGCGCTAGCGGACTTGTTAATCTCCCTCAGAGCCTTGGCGCCGCGCTCCAGGGCCTCGGGATCAAATCCCGCCGCCGTCGTCCGCGGGTTTGGGTTATCATTCCTCTGCCGCTGTGCAGCCTCCCCCGCACCTCCCTTCCCCGCATCCGCGCCAGATCCACCGGGCGGAAGGGTCGCGGGGGCAGGAGCGGGCGCGGGGGGATGATCCGCGGAGTGCTCTCCGCCAGCCCCGCCAGCCCCCCCGCGGATGCCCAGCATGTTCCCCCAGAACGACCCAGCGGAAGCCACTGTGCCCAAGTGCTGGTGATCCGCGGGATCCGCGGAGTCGTCAGATCTTGCGACGCGCGAATCTACGGCTGCGATCGCGGCAACGGAAGCGGCGGATGCGGCGAGCACAGTAGCGGTTCCAGATCTACCGGATCTCGTGGCTGACACGGCAGCCGCTGATTGGGCTAGCCGACGAATAGAGCTTCTGATCACCATGGCTGGCAGATTCGAGCGGATCGATCCCGATCAGATCAGATCGGATCGGATCGGGTCTACTTTAGATGCTGAACGTTCAGGGCAGAAGCGAGAGGCAAGCAATGAGTTAATGCTCCAATGAACGCTCGCGCTCTGGTCGTAGGGGTTAGGATCTGGCCTAGATCCCTGCGATCTGGTTTAGGAATCTCAACTTCTGACCCTGTGATTTGCTTTAGGAGGGAAAGAAGATCCTCTAGCAAAACCAAAACAGACCGTTTCGGCGAAAGCAGAAGAAGCTCCAGAGTCTAGAGTATACACCACCAGCGGAGGCAGTCGGCCAGGCTTTAGACGAGTCGCCCTGTCAGCGAGCCGAATGGCCAGCAAACGAACTCGTGACAACGAACTGGTGAACCTCTACCATGCGAGCAGGAAAGGCCCCATGGAAAAACCGATGGTCAGGAGGAAGGAACGGGAGAGAGATGCTGGAGAAGCTGAACACCAGATGCAGTTGAGAATGTATCATGTAACGGCTCATACATTATCGAGAATGTAGAATGGCTGTTTTTGCGAAAACATTTCCACTGGTTACCACGTAGGAGATCGCAGTGGCACACAAGCGGACAACGCCCAGCCCGTGAAATGGGCAACTGTCTCCGAAGGCCTGTTTACAAATGTAACCAGGAGTTTCCGGAGTACCTGATGCGGAGTACAAAAGTGCCTCACTAGCCCCTTCCATTCGGAGTAGTGGTGCAGAAATCTGTATGATGCAGGCCCAATATTCTACGGCCAATTCCTATTACACTTACCAGGGGCTAGATGTCAAGGTAACAATTTTTGGACTCAGAGCCTCGAGTTTGTATGCAACACGCCTATACTTTTTAAGGCATTTCATTGCGATCCCTCGCGGGAATTCTGGTTACCGCTGACGAAACACAGCTGACGCTGTTCTCCTTCCGTGTGCCACACGAAATGCGTGGAGTTTGGGACCCGCCGCCACGCGTTTGGAGAATTTCCAGCGGGATGGCTGACGTCAAATATCAGCAAAACTGTGCAGGAGCAGCTTCAATAGAAACACAATAGGACCCGAGCATGGAGTAGAAGTGCACTTCTCCATCACTATACCGCCCAGTCATGTATCACATGATTGACATAAACATATTGAATGAATAAAACATATTTAAATATATTTGTGCTATTAAATGATGCGAATGATTGATATGATGAATTATGACCTAAATCAGTTATGCTTTATATAGAAGATCTCGTGACATAAATTACAAGCTTACATATCTGATGGCTGAGGCTCACAGCATGCCATCTATAACGAGATTTCCCAAACCTTGAGATCTTGGAACGAACCGCTTTCTTCCACTTGTGAAATCCTACTGACAATGAGCGCACAGGATCATCCTTCGTGCGGCACCATCTGACAAACATTTTCGGAATAAATCAATCCCAGCCGTCAGACACTCACGTCGCACCATCTGGGCCGTGATCCCACTCCTCACACCACTTTCACTGCACGCGACTCGGTGCGTGTCGCCAAGTCCAGCACCAAAACATCGCGTCGCGGCAGCCTCCCGGCAGCACTGTACAGCAAGCACTGGCCAGGCACAGCTGGAGAAGCAGCCAGAAATCCCAGGTGAAGTAGTAGACCCCTGGGGATTCCTGCATGGGGGGGGATCTCCTGAACAGGGAGAAGCGGGGAGTGGGTGCGGGTGGTGATCTTCAGAAGGTTTTCCCCACTGAAGGTTTTCCATCCCCAATTCCCATGCCTCAATCTTTCTGGGGCAAAAGCCAAGGTCGCTGGCTTCCTTGCCAGCCGTCGGATCATGCGTAACACTTCGACTCAGAACCTGTAACATCGGATCTACGGTTACGACTCCGTAGCTACAGACACTGCTTTTGGGTCAAAAGCTAGAACACGGAAATGGAGCCGTGGAGCTAAAAAGCGACCATCGCTTTGGTAGCACGTCTCCTTTTGTAGGGTGACTCCACAGCACGGCACGCTTTTTTGGCTCGTAGTGGGCGGATTGTATGAGGCGAGCGATATTTAGGTCGTACGATTGATGCGCGTAGCTTCGTAGCGTGCGGTCACGTAGGCGTCGACTCTCGTCCTCCAGGCCTCGTGCCTTAGACCTCCCCACGACTTGACCTAGCGCGATTTTGGAGTCGACTCTAAAGTCACCTTCGCACGACATAATTCAGGCCTTCGCGAACTGCGACAGGTAAGTCTCGATAGCCAGTGATACTAGTCCCCCTCTCGTTCGTTACTAGCCGTTGTCTCCCGTGATACGCGCGGTTCTTCCAATCAGCATAGTGCACGAACAGATCGACGAAAGCAAGGGCTTTAGGTCCTGGCACACTAATCCGCCCTCGGGTAGGCTCCGCCCTGATTTGGACGACTACCAGCCTCGACTTCGGTCGTCGTGCGCTTCGTCATACCTCTCATCCCTCTCATCCCTCTCATCCCTCTCATCCCTCTCATCCCTCTCATCCCTCTCATCCCTCTCATCCCTCTCATACCTCTCAGCATAGCAGAATCAGTTGTCCACCATTTTCCCTCCGGCCTCAGGTGATCCTAGAACGTTATTTCCACCCCATCATTTCTCGATTTAACTCGTTCTCAGCATAGCAACATCAGTTTTCTGAGGCGCCTGCTAGCTCGTTCCCGTCTGCAGGAGCTCCATTTTCTCGAGGGTTACAAAAAAGCAAAGCAATCCTGAAAGGGAGTTTTCCGAACCTCTTACTGTAGTACGAAGTACAGGCAAGCAGGAGGGTTATAAGGACCGGGTATATAGGCAAGCAGGCTATTGAGTATCTAACGTCTAAGGCATTGACGAGAGCCGTCGAGAAAAAGAGTGGTTGCGTTGGAGAACAGTGGAGACAACCTCGGAATGAGGCAACGGAGACGAGCCATGGGGTTTCAAAGAGCGCGTCTGATCTGGCTGCTTTTGGTCGCGGCGTCGCAGTGGTGCTCGGGAGCGCAAGCCAAGACCGTCATGGGAGACGGTAGGTTGTGGTAATAGGAATGCTTAGTAGCTACGTTTCTGGTAGAGTTTTTTGTTCTTCATACCTCGATGGGACGCCGCCTTGGAAAGTACTAAGTTCGGTTAGGAATCTTAGCATCCGCTAATGGGTTGAGAAGTTGCGCGGTAACGATCATTTAGTTTTTTTTGCCTGCATTACGATAGGACGAAATGATACGGAGATAGGGTAGACCTATAGTCTGATCCGAACTTTCAGCAGCGCACACCCCCCTTCCCCACACCCGAATTCCACCCTCTCCTTCCGGCCCTCCCTTTCCCCAAACCCCCCCCCCCCCCTCTTCTCACCCCCCCCTCCCCCCCCCCCCCTCTTCTCACCCCCCCCTCCCCCCCCCCCCTCTTCTCACCCCCCCTCTCTTCCACCCCCCGCGGTGCTCCACCAGTGTCCGCGCTGGAGCTTTTCAAGCTATCGGTGAGCAACGCGCCGGCCCTGGCGGACTGGCAAGGAATCTATTGCATCATTTCCATCCCCGCACCCACCAATTTGACTTTCCCCCCCTAACCCAATGCAGTATCCGCGCTGCAAGTATTCAAGCTGTCCGTAAACAACGCGTCGGCCCTGGCGGACTGGGAGGGCTTCGAGCCGTGCAAGAAGGAGTGGTTCGGCGTCAACTGCGGGCAGTCGTCGCGGTCCTCTCACCGATGGACCGTCGTCGCCATGTAAGCTTTCTGCTCGCCAAATAAGCTTCTTCGGTTTACGAGTAAGCTATCTCGGTTGCGGTAAAGACTTCTGATTTGAAAAAGTCAATCGACTGTTAGGGCTTCGAACCGTGCAAGGAGGAGTGATTCGGCGTCAACTGCGGGCAGTCGTCGCGCTCGTCTCACCCATGGGCCATGGACCATGGGCCGTCAACTTCTTATTTGATATATAAGCTCCTTCGATATGCTGATAAACTCTCTAACTGGAAGAATTCTGTTTCCCTGATGCTGCCCTATCCCTCCGCCATCCGCTCATCCCCCCACTCCCCCCTCTGCCCCCCAACCTCCTCCCACAACCCCCCCGTTATCCCGCCACTTTCAGTGAGCTGCCGAACTGCAATCTGGGCGGGGAGATTCCCGAGGCCATCGGCGACCTGGTGGAGCTCACGAAACTGTAAGCATTAGATGCGATAATCTACAGGACAATCTTAGCGTCTTGTTTCGTATAATCGATCACCACCAAAAATGAATATGGTGCAGGAAACGATTACAAATTGTGTAATTGTAACGCGAACGGAGGCAGCTTTGCCGTCTCTCTCTCGCGGTCAGCCTAGCGATTACCCGCCTTTATGCTTAGTTGACAGAAAGCGTATCGTCTCTTCCTATGACTTGATCCAATGTGCACCACGGTTTTAGTAACCTCTTATCCGCGGTGCACAAGGAGAAACAGAGAAGCAGGGTATCTTCTCTGTTCCTCCTTTCCTGTTCCCAATCACCCTGAATCATGACCACCGCATTCCCCCAAATCCCGCAGCGATCTGCGGAACAATGGCTTCACCGGCGTGCTTCCCGCGTCGCTCAGCCGCCTGACCGCGTTAGAGTCACTCGACGTGTCAGGAAACCCGTTCGAGGTCGCACCTTCCACGAACCTTACCGCTGGCGCGTCTCCCCCGCTGACGTCCGACCCCATCTCGATAATACCGCAGCCGGAAGCGCCGGCGCCGGGAAATCCGGAGCCGATTAAGAAAGGAGGGAAAAAGCGCCGAGGAAAGAAAGGCCGCGGGAAGAAGGGTCGAGGGAAGCAGACGGGGAAGGCGAAAGATTCCCCAGCCGAGCCGCCTGCTGCCGAGCCTCCTATCGCTAAGCCATCGCCGGCTGCCAAGCCGCCTGCCGTCAAGCCGTTACCGGCTGCCAAACTGCCTGCCGTCAAGCCGTTGCCGGCTGCTGAACCGCCGGCTGTCAAGCCGCCGGTTGGAAAATTTCCGGCCAAAAACAATTCGGATAAAGTGCGACTTCCCGCCGTTCCTGTAGAGCCGCCTACAGACGAATCCACCGGTGGCCCTGTCCCCGTTATAAGCCGCTCCCCATCGCCACCCCCGTTATCCGTGTCAGCACCTTCGGGTAACGCTGTCACCCCTCCGCCGGCCCCTGTAGCCGACGGAACCGGAGCGAAAACGCCGGCGACGGAAGCTACGCCGGAGAATCCGGGCCTTGATAGTGGTAGCAGCAGCAACGACGGTGGTACTCGTAATAGCAGCAGTACCGACAGCAATGGCAGCAGCAGCACTGGCAGCAGTACCGGCAGCAGCACGGCGTCGCTGGACGGTTCCTCTTCCGCTTCCTCCCCTCCCCCTGACTCCTCCCCCTCCGCCGACTCCTCCTCCTCTTCCTCGTCCACCAATAGCATCGCGTTGTACGTGGGGATCGCGGCGGGAGTGGTGGTGGCGTTCCTATTCGTCGTCGCGCTCGTGCTGCTCTACATCTACCTGCGGCGCCGCCGCGCGGAGATTAAAGACTTCGCGCCGATCGCGGACGCGCAGGGGGAGGGGGGGTACTACGGAAAAGGCGGCGCGGGAGCTGCGGGGAAGAAGGGAGGTGCCGGTGGTGCGGGGGAGCGTTTGGGGGGGGATGGCGATCTGCTAGGGTGGCTGATCTGGGTAAGTGCGCACTATATAGTTTCTCAATATATGCGGGAGCGAGTGCGGGGAAGTACGGTGGTGGTGCTGGTGGTCCGGGAAGAGCGTTTGGAGGGGTATGGCGATCTGCTAAGGTGGCTGATCTGGGTATACAACACAGCAGTCTAAGCTGTGCTTTGGTATGCTTCTGCCTACTGTTCCCTGACTCGTCCCTCCTGACCTTCCCCCACTCCCCCTCGTTTTCCCCGCGCTCCCTTCCCCGTCAGGGCAGCGATGGCCTCTCAGTAGCCCCCCCTCCTCCCCTCTCCTCCCCCCCCCCCCCTTCGCCTCCCTCCTTTCTCTCTCCCTCTCCCCCCTTCTCCCCCCCCTTCCCCCGCTGTCCCCCCTTCTCCCCCCCCTTCCCCCGCTGTCCCCCCTTCTTCCGCCCCTCCCCCCTCCGCTAACAGGCACGGCAACGGCCTCCCAGCAGCAACTCGCAATTCCCGTCGCCGCAGTCGCCGCCGCCCCTTCCGCCGCGTTTCCCGCTAACGACCGTGAAGCAACGCTTCCCCCTCACGATCCCTCCGCGGCTATTCCGCACAGCGGCGCGTCGAATCACAGCGGATGGGGCGCCGCGAATGGCGCCGCAATCAGCGCCGCGAACAGTACGATCCAGAGCCCGTATCCCCCGGGGGGGGCTCTGGGCGCCTCGGTTTCATTGGAGCACGGAGGCGCGGCGGCTGCAGCAGAAGGTGGTTCGGCGTCGCCGTACGCACCAGCCTCTGGCAGCAACACGTTCGTGTCGGTTGCCGACCCTGGCAGCAACATGTCGAGCCAGTTCCCGAGCCGCACTCCGAGCCTGACGCCGAGCCAAGCGCCGAGCCACGTGGCCGGCCCGGGGCTCGCAGCGGCTATAGCCGCGGGAGCGGGAATGGGTTTAGTGGGGGGAGTGGGGGGAGGGGGGGCGGGGGGGGCGCGGGGGCGGGGGAGGCGGAATCAGCGGAGGGGAACTGGGGAGTGGGGGAGGGGGGTATGCGACTCCTAGCAGCAGCGCGCAGACACCTAGTAGCACCGTGGGGTCTTTAAAGTCGGGGCGCAATATGGCAGAATATAGGATGATGCTGCCTAGTCGCAGTCTGAGTAACACGGTCATGGAGCTGACGTACGAAGATGTATTGGTGAGTCAATTGCTCTCTCCGCCTAGCAGCGGTCTTTCGTCGCCATTGTGCGGCGTCCCCTCTGTTAGTTGACGTGTCAGTGTGAGTAACACGGTCATGGAGCTGACGCATGATGACGTATTGGTGAGCCATCTGCTGTTTCACTATGCAACTCTATACAACTGTGGGGATGTCTTATAACGAGCTGCAGTCTGAGCAACACACGCTCATGGAGCCGATGTACGAAGGCTTGCAGGTGAGTTGTTTGCTACTGCAGTATACGAGGAAGGGGGGCGTCTTATAACGAGCCGCAGTCTAATGTCATGGAGCCGACGTACGAAGACGTCCTTGAGTCTTCATACGCCTAGCAGCCGCCGCAGTGTGCCGGCAGGCAGGCGTTGTCTCAGATTGCGTTTCGTCGGCACCTGGCCACATTTGGAGTCGACTCAAACGTAGACGACACAAAAGCAACTCTCCCGTGAAGAACCACTCGATCTCTCCCCTCCCCTCCCCTCCCCTCCCCTTCTCTCCCCTCCCCTCCCAACCCTTCCCCTCCCCCTCCCTCTCCTCCTCCCGCTCCCGCTGCCCCTCTCGCAGGGTGCGACGGACAACCTCTCAGACGCAAACGTGATTGGGTCGGGCGGGTTTGGACGGGTGTACTGCGGCCGACTGGCGGGGGCGGGAGTGGCGGTGAAAGTGCTGGAGGCGGGGAGCAGCCAGGGCGACCGGGAATTCCAAGCAGAGGTGAGGGTCACTGTTGACATGCGTGAGGGAACGAGTGGAGGTATCAAGTTACAGATGGTGGGGGTTGGCGTGGCGGTGAAAGTTCTGGAGGCGGGGAGCAGCCAGGGCGACAGAGAGTTTCAGGCAGAGGTGAGGGTCACTGTTGACATGCGTGAGGTGAGGGTCACTGTTGACATGCGTGAGGTGAGGGTCACTGTTGAAACCAAGGTTCACAGGTGTACAGCTTCGGTCGTAGGGTTGAACACTCACAGGGTTTAAGGTGTGGCGGTGAAAGTGCTGGAGGCGGGCACTGCATCGTGGGGGGCAACAGAATGCTGCTCTCACGCTTTTGCTGCTCTCACGCTTTTGCTGCTCTCACGCTTTTGCTGCTCTCACGCTTTTGCTGCTACCTCACCTCCCACCCATCTCCTCCTCACCTCCCGCCCCTCTCCTCCGCACCGCCCGCCCCTCTCCTCCGCACCGCCCGCCCCTCTCCTCCGCACCGCCCACCCCTCTCCTCCGCACCGCCCGCCGCTCTCTCCCTTCGCTTGTTCCCTTGTGCCACTGCAGGTCGAGCTGCTGAGTCGTCTGAGGTCGCCCCACCTGGTGCACCTACTGGGGTACTGCATCGCAGAGGGCAACAGAGTGCTGGTGTACAATCTCATGGCGAATGGCAGCTTGAGCGATCTGTTGCATGACAACAGCAGTGATGGTGAGTGTACTATACGCGTTATACAGTGGTTGATACTCTTTATAGAGTGATTGTGGGGGCAACAGCGCGCTGGTGTATAATCTCGTGGCGAATGGCAGCTTGAGCGACTTGCTGCACGACAACAGCAGTGATGGCGAGTGTAGAGTACTGTATATACGTTTGAGAGTGTCTTACACGCGTTATGGAGTGATATTCGGGACAACAGAGTGTATAGTGTGGTTTACAGGCGATGGTGAGTGTAGTGTACAGTGGTGAGTGTGCAGCAGAGGGATGGGGAAGAGAGTATGGTGAGTGTGCGGAAGAGAGTCTAGTCGATTTTTGAGTTGACTCACGGAGTATGGTGAGTGTGCGGAAGAGAGTATAGTGGAGATGTAGTTGCTCCCCGTTTCCCCCCTTCACCACCCCCCCCCTCCTTCCAGGCACCTTCTCCTCTCGGTTCGGCAGGGAGCCCCCCCAGCTGGAGTGGCAGCAGCGCATGCAAATAGCTCTGGACGCCGCCAGGGGGCTCATGTTCCTGCACCACGCGGCCAACCCGCCGGTGATTCATAGGGACTTCAAGAGCAGCAACGTGCTCGTGGACCAAGAGTGAGTGTCATACAGTCACGCTGCTAGAAGGCGCACGCATGCAGATAGCTCTGGACGCCGCCAGGGGGCTCATGTTCCTGCACCACGCGGCTAATCCGCCGGTCATTCATACAGACTTTTAGAGCAGCAACGTGCTGGTTGATCAAGAGTGAGTGTCTCTGCTCTGGCCTTAGAAGTGCGCCCCTAGAGGAGCATCACGCCGCAAAGGGGCTCATGTTTCCGCCCGTGGGGAATGACGCACTCCGTGATTCTGCCTCCAGTGCTATGTGTAATTTGAGTTGACTCTGAATGCTCCGGTGCTATCTTATCTCCCTCTCCTCGTCTCCCCCCCCATCAGTTTCCATGCGCGCATTGCTGACTTCGGGTTGGCCCGGGATGGCCCCAGTGGGGAGAAGCGGTGGGTGTCGACTCGAGTGCTCGGCACAACCGGCTATCTGTCGCCAGAGTGAGTACTACGAGGGTGTACTGAGCAGAGTGAGTACTACGAGGGTGTTTTACCCTGTACTGAGCAGAGTGAGTAATATGAGGGTGTTTTACCCTGTCAGCAGAGTGAAGGATGGTTTACAGTGTCACCCTGTTCCGGTCCCATACTGTGTGTTGGGCACTACCTGTCCCTGTGAGATTCTTGAGGGTAATTAACCCTAATTCTCTTCTCTACCAAACTCGATATTATTATTTTCTCCTCACCACTCTCTTTCCACCATGACTACTGTCACTCACCACACTCTGTCCTCCCTCCCTACTCTCCTCACTCTCTCCCATCCTCATTTCCCCCCGTATCTGCCCTATCACGCAGGTATGTGACAACCGGGCGGCTAACAGCTAAGTCGGACGTGTACTCGTTTGGCATCGTGCTTCTGGAACTGCTGACAGGGCTAGTGCCTATTGACCATGACAGACCGCCCAACCGGGTGTCGCTCACATCATGGGTGAGTGGTGGTTGGGAGTAAGGTGTGGTAATCTGGGGTGGGGAGGCGGCCGTGCTGCTGGGGCTGCGGAAAAAGCTCGTGCCCATCTACCATGACAGGCCGCCCAATCGGGTGTCGCTCACATCATGGGTGAGTGCAGATGGGAGAGGATGGGAGGGGGGGGGGTGGGGGGGGGGATATAACGGAGGATGGGGAAGAGAGCCAGTGGTGCTGGTGCCGGGTACCCCAAATCCCGCTAGTGTTGACACGTTGAAACCCATGCCGCTATCTTTCACTTACCGCTGGTGCCCGTGCCACCCCCCCCCCATCAGGCCCTACCCCTGCTGACGCAACGCGAGAGGCTGGGGGAGCTGCTGGACCCGCGGCTGGATGGGGCCGTGCCGCTGCACGAGTTCATGCAGGTATGATGGTGGGTGGGGCGGTGCGTGCTGCCACATGTGCGCATGCTGCTATGAGCGCGTGTGAGAGAGCTGCTGGACTCGCGGCTGAATGGGGCCGTGCCGCTGCACGAGTTCATGTAGGTATGGTGGTGGGTGGGGCGGTGCGTGCTGCCACATGTGCGCATGCTGCTATGAGCGCGTGTGAGAGAGCTGCTGGACTCGCGGCTGGATGGGGCCGTGCCGCTGCACGAGTTCATGCAGGTATGGTGGTGGGTGGGGTGGTGCGTGCTGCCACATGTGCGCATGCTGCTATGAGCGCGTGTGAGAGAGCTGCTGGACTCGCGGCTGGATGGGGCCGTGCCGCTGCACGAGTTCATGCAGGTATGGTGGTGGGTGGGGCGGTGCGTGCTGCCACATGTGCGCATGCTGCCATGAGCGCGTGGGAGAGAGCTGCTGGCCCCGTGGCTGGATGGATGGGGCCGTGCCGCTGCATGAATTCATGCTCGTGAGATGTGCGCTGTAGCGAGCTGCGCTGGGTGTAGTGCATGCTGCTATGAGGGCCTGGGAAAGCTGCTGGACCCGCGGCTGCCATTACAATGACCCTCTCAATGACCCATTGCAATGACCCTCTGTCTCTCCTGATGCCCGTCCCTCCCCAGTCCCGCCGTCCCTCCCCTGTCTCCATAGCAGCCGTGTGTCTGCATGCAGACCCCGACTACGGCGCCCGCACATGCATCTGCCGTGCCGTCCCTCATGCCGTCTCCCTGAGCCTCCATCCCCCTGATGCCTGCCTCTCCCCTGTTCCTCCCTTGTCGCCCCCCCCTTGTCCCCGCTACAGGCTGCCTCAGTAGCAGCCGTGTGTCTGCAAGCAGATCCCGACTACCGCCCGCACATGGACGACGTGGTGCAGTCCCTCATGCCACTCTGCAAGGCCGCTTGCTCGCCCTACGCCTCCCCCGCCCAGTCCAACCACTCGTCTCTGCGATGACAGCCCTCTCCTGTAATGGCAGCCCACTCTTACCTACGGCACTGATCATCTCTCCTCCCTCCCAGCACTTAGGAGGCTGCCTGCTCGCCCTACGCCTCCCCAGCCCAGTCCAACCACTCGTCCCTGCGATGACAGCCCTCCCACAGCCGTGCCTGCAGCGAGGAGCCCCTGCCACCATTCACTCCTATACCGCGGCCTCTACACTAAATAGCCCTCCCCCGCCCAGTCCAACCATCCGTCCTTGCGATGACAGCCCTCTCCCACCAGTCTTTTCATCACACCCTCCGTCTGCAACGATGAGCCCCTGGGTCATCACCCCCGTCTGAAACGCCTGTACACTCCTATCCCCTTTACTGATCTAGCGCGGAGGTGACTCGATACTAGTACAGTAGCCCTGGTGTAGATCTGAGCGCTAGCCAAGCAAGTTGTTCAGCTAGGTTATATATCGATCGGTAGTGGCGAAGCAAAGTTTTTTTTTGTCCAGGGTGTAGCTAAGGCTATAAATAAATGGTAAGCCGTCTGCTGAAAGTGGCATGCATGTTTACATGAAGCAATACTAATACGGTAAGATGGTTAAAGTTATGCTGAAAGTGGTATAGGATGCAAAGGCAACATCAATTATGGACCTTTTGTGGAGTCACTCTGTTATAGAGTGATGCAGTTCGGTTTCTTGCCCCGTGTCAGTGTTTGGTGCGGATGTTCTACTTTGTTGGAAATGTTAAAAGAACTTGAGGAATTTTCGGAGTCTCGCGTGTGTGAACGAATGCGCGAAGACTGCTACAGTACCACCGACGGTTGACACAGCTTGACGACATCCCGCAGAGGTTACAAAAGGGCAACGGCCGCGGACCGTTGACCGTGCAAGCAACCCAACAGTCAGAATCGCAAGAGTCAAGAGTCAGCGCGACAGTAAGGACAAATAACCGTCCCGGTCTTACAGTACGGGTGGTTACCCGAGTCGCCTTATCGATTCGTAAAAAGGGAATGTGCCCCTTGAAGTGCACAAACAGTTAGACTTTTCATATTCTCTTATATTATTATATAAACCTTGTATCCCTTTGCTATAATCAATCACTTGTTCTCACATACCAGTACAAGGGTTCAACTCAAGACTTCCGCTGTGCTATCAAGCACTCTGTTACAAGGACTTAGCATTCTGAAAAGATCATAGGGCTATTCTCAGCCCAACATGGTATGTGAGCTAGTCAGAAGCTACGCTCCTGTTACAAACTCCCTCAGTGAGTTTTAACTTGGTTACAAAACCACTCGCAACAATCTCAGTTTATCATTGAAGGATACAAGACATGGCGCCATCTAAGGGCGATGGATCCTCTACTGGATCCCCCTCTGCACCCCCAGTCTCTGGACTACAGACTGAGGCTGTCGCAGCTGCAGGAGCCTCCACGCAACCAGTGGCCTCCTCCTCGGGCATGGATTCGAATCTCATGGAGAAATTCTTCTCCTTCATGTCGACCTACGAGCAGTCTTCGGCACCTGCTCAATCAACACAACAACAGTGGAGCAATTCCGATGAGCCTTGATGGCACATCGTATGCAAGAGGCGCACAGCCTACACAGCACCAACCATACCAGCCCTCGCCATGCTCGTTTACCTTCCTGCCGACTCCCGCGCCAGCAGTGGATTCAGATACAGCAGACAAGCAGTCCGACATAGTCACCATGCAACAACAGTTCAACAACATTCTAAAACTGCAGACGTCCTCACCATTCAACGGCAAGGACTTCTTCGCCTGGAGCTTCGAGTTTGAGTTGCTGATGGATGGCGCGCAAATCCTCGACTTCTTCACCGGCTCCTGGCCCTTCCTTGTAAACAGGACTACTCAAGAAAAGATTTACACTTATCAGTCGCTGATGGCCTTCATCATCCTCTTGCGCAACTTGACATCAACGGAGCAACAAAGCATTCGCACGTATCGCAACTTCGGCAACTCGGCCGAACTGGCATATTGTCACTTGAAGAGTGTCTACCAAGCAACCCACAGCGTGACTCAAAGCCGGCTGATGGCACAACTCACGACGATCCAGATGCAACCAGGAGAAAAAGCGATGACGTTCATCAATCGATGCAGAGGCTTACGCGACAAACTTCTACGGAACGGTGGACACTTATCGGAGGATTTGTTCGTCACGGTCGCTCTTGCTGGCCTCGGTCCTCAGTGGCGTACGGCGCGCTCCCTTCTAAGCGCTCACGGGAGGATCTCCGAGTTGCACTTGTGCGCAAAGCTCCACGCCGAGCATCAAGACATGGACCTGTACGAAGAACAAGACACAGAGAAACCGAGTCAGCAACTCGCGTTCTACACGCACGGAAGCAACCGCAAGAATCACCATCAGAAACGACACTCACCTCCGTATTGTCATCGATGCCGCACGACGAGACACTCGCGCTTCAACTGCCCAAGGCAACAGCACCAGCAAGAGCAGCAGCAGCCGCAGTTCCCGCAGTATCAACCTCATGTGCCACGTCCGTTATCGAGTCCGGTCGCTTCAATTCAGCGGCGCCCACCATCTCCGACGAACCGCTTTGCACAAGACGCAAGGAACATCGTAAGCTGCATGGCACAAACAGATTTATGTGTACCCGACTCCCCACCTCACAGTGATCTCGATGAACAACCCCCAGCTCCGACACAGACCCGGCTCTAACCGAACCCAACTTACGCTGCAATAGCTCGCGACGAACTGTCCGGCCACGACACTTGGTTTCTTGATAGTTGCTGTGGACAACACATGTGTTCTTCGGCGAGTTTTGTCCAGCGAGAGAAGACTCTGAGCCGAGAAGTCGTTATCACCGTTGCCAACCACCAGAACCTGCGCACACAGAATGAAGGGGTCGTCCAGTTACAATCCAGCGAGACAAACGTGATACTACAGATGTCACGGATACTTGTCGTCGATAACCTCGGCTACAATCTACTAAGCGTCGGCCAGCTAATGTCAAAGGGCATTCACCTGGAGTGTGATAGCTTTGATCAGGAGTTCCGTCCCTACCACGGGAAGGGCGGTCTCTTCATCAGCACAGCCATCCAGAAGCATGAAGTCTTCGTCTTGGACTTCGTTCCAGACCGCGGGACCGCTGACAGCGATGGCGTCATCTCCTTCACGTCTTGGACACACCGCCAGATCTTGATCCTGGATTCAACCGAGACGGCTTCTGGTACTCCAACACGATCCCTGAAGCAAAAAGCACACGGGCATTCTCGGTGATGCAGGATGGAGAGGAACAAGAAATAGAAACACAGCTTGTAGCAGAACCACAAGCGACGACACAAGAACTTCGTGCAAGTCCCATCGCTGGCGCCACCCGTCCAAGAAGCTCCACCTGGGATGCCACCTATTGATGCCACCTATTGATGAAACGCCGCCGACCGACGCCGAGCAGCTGAAGGCGCATCCTCGAGAGCACTATCAAAGCGCCGCGACCACCTCCGCCTTCTACGCCAAATCGGACCTGTACCGACGATCTGCGGAACACAAGGCGAGCGAGGAAATATGGCATGAAAGGTTAGGACATCCCAGCAATGTAAAACTATTCGACAATATTCGTGCGAACGTCCTGGACAAGGACGCTCTCCTACTTCTCGATGGTCGTGAAATCTGGCGACCTCGACACACCTGCTTTATCAGTCCGGAGGCAGATCTTCCTCGTCAACCGTTCCTGTCGCATCACAACCCGAGCGCACCAGAGTACGCTCTACTCGAAAAAATATACAGCGATATTCTGTATATCCCGCGAGAAGTCGGCCAGGCCGGCCTCAACTACGTTATCACCTTCGTCGATGCCGCGACCCAATACACCTGGCATCTTAACTTACCGTCACGTGACCTTGCCTTCTCTACCTTCGTCGCATGGCTTGCTGCAGCAGAACGGGAGGGAGACACGAAACTGAAATGCTTTCAGTCAAACGGGGCGATGGAATACTAGCCACAGCGATTCAGGGACTACCTCGCTGAGAGAGGAATCAAGAGGCTCGTCACCCTCCCCTACGCTCACCAACAGAATGGTGTAGCACAGAGGATGAACAGAACCCTCTAGAACACCATGAGGAAGCTGCTGACTGGGATGTGTCTACCCAACTCGCAGTGGCAGGAGGCGATGAATCACGTCATTATGCAGCAGAAACTTATGTCGTCAAGCTCCCTGCCAAACCACGCATCACCGCATCTGCTGTGGGCAGGGAATCAGGGCAGCACAAAATTGTTACGAGTGTTCGGCTGCATGGTACAGTACCGACCACACAGTGCACAAGCTGGACGATTTTCACAGCGGGCACGATCGGGTTTACACCTCGGTGTGGAAAAACACTCTAAGGCCTGGAAAATCTTCGACGTGAAAGATAAGGAAACAGTACCGGCGCGTGATGAGATTTTCTACGAGAACCTCACCCTCAATCATTACCTAGAGTACATCGCAACCAATCAAGACCCATCTGGTGGTTTCGCTGGCGCACGCACATTCTCGAGAAAGCGCGAACGCTGAAGCATACTACCACTTCGCCGACACTGGTTACGTAACACCCAACAGCGTCGACACCAACGTTTCAGAAAGAGTGGACCAGGTTTCGTACCTGATCCTGAAGCGGGAGACGAAGCAGACTATCCCGAGGATCCGACACTACCCTGCTACACCAAGACCAGACTGCAAATCCTCGGACTCGTAGTAGCTGTGCATCCCCCGTCCTCACCGTCGCGAGTCGAGGAGCCGAAGACCGTCAAGCGAGCGCTGCAAGGACCACACAGGGAAAAATGGAGGGAGGCAATGGATCGAGAATTAGCGGCATTGCACGAGAGAAACATTTGGAAGGTGATTCCAATTTCTCAGACCAAGGGGCAGACAATCCTCTTCGAGAAGTGGGTCTTCAGAGTGAAGACAAAGGCGGATGGAACCATCGAATGAGTCAAAGCATGATGGGTGGTTTGCGGCTTCGACCAGCAGCACGGCCGTGACTACACCGAGACCTTCGCTCTGGTCAGTCGCCACACTTCTCTCCGCATTCTCCTCGCCGTCGCCGCCGCCTGCCGACTTATTCTGCGACAAATCGACGTCGCCACCGCATTCCTCTACGCCCCGGTCGATGGCGACATCTTTGTCGAGCAGGCACACGCGTATGTCGATGATCCCATACTGGTGTGCGTCTCGTCAAATCCCTTTATGGGATCAAGCAGGCCCCGCGCCTGTGGCAGCTGTACCTACACAGGGTCCTTACCACCATGGGCTTTGCCCAACTTCCTCACGACCAGGGCATGTACATGCCATCCCGCTGCGGCGACTACGTCCTGCTGATAGTCTACGTCGATGACCTGCTCTACGTCGGCTCCACCGCTTCCATCACCGTCTGGTTTGAAGGGGAGCTGGAACTTCAGCTAACCATCACCGTGTCACTGCACGTAACGTAGTACCTCGGCCTCAACATCACAGACGGCCCGGACACCAGCCACCTCTCGAGATTGAAGTACGCCGAGAACATCGTTCGGCGGTTCGATCTCTCCCCGCTACCTCTCACTACTCCGTACGCCTACGCGCCGCCGGTTCCCGCATCGACCGCCTCGCTACTCGCACCAGCCGGGATCCAGGAATATCAGCAGAAGCAGGGCTATCTGCTATTCGCCGCCGTCACCTGTCGTCCTGATCTCTCCTATGCCACTAGCCAACTCGCCACCTACCTTAAGCGACCAGAAAGGGGAAATCTACAGGAACTCGATCGCGCGCTTCACTGCTTCATCTCGACCCCGACGATCAGCCTGGCCTACCACAAAAGAGCTACTACCAAGACTGAACCCATCGGCTACGTCGACGCCGATCATGCTGGCGATAAGGATAACAGATGCTCGCGCACCGGCTACATCTACCGTCTGGAACCTATCGACACTAACACCTGGCACTCGGGAAAACAGGAACTCATCGCTCTCTCATCTGCTGAAGCTGAATACAGTATATCGCCCTCTGCACAGCCACAAAGGAAGGAATGTACGTGCGCGAGCTCCTCAAAACAGCGAAGATGGCCGAGTTACCAAGCTTCTCCCTCTTCTGCGACAACCAATCAGCAATCAAAATCGCCAACAAATATGGATTCGCGAATAGGACGAAGCACATCTCGCTTTGCTACTTTTTTGTGAAGGGCGCGATTGAGCAAGGACATCTCCAATTGGTCTACTGCCCCACCACCGAAATGGCAGCCGACTACTTGACCAAGAAGCTGATGAAGTCGAAGTTCCAGTCTGCATGATGCTGACTGGACTGCAAGACGTCACCAACCTCGACCACATCGATACTTAAAAATAAAGAACTTAAGAAATGAAGGAGGGTTATGGAAATGACAAAAGAACTTAAGGCATTTCTGGAGTCTCGGTTGAGCGTACGAATACGCGAAGACTACAACAACAAGGATCACCTGAGTCAAAACTGCTACAGTACCACCGACGGTTGACACAGGTTGGCCGCCCATAGCCGCCAGCCGTCAAAAGCCGCTGGCCGCCCGTAGCCGCCAGCCGTCCGTCGCTGCCGGCCACACGTAGCTCCGCGCCGTCGGCCCCAGCTCGCCGCCCCCCTGCTAGCTCGCCGGCCCCGCTCGCCGGCCCCTACTCGCTAGCCCCGCGCTCGCCAGCCCTGCGCCCGCTGGCCCCGAGTTCGCCAGCCCCGCGGCCGCCAGCCCCACGATTGCTGGCCCTGCCCTTGCTGGCCCCGCACTCGCCGGCCCCGTGCTTGCCATCCCCGCGCTTTCTGGCCCCGCGCTCGCTGGCCCCGCGCTTTCCAGCCCCGTACTCGCTAGCCCCGCGCTCGCCGGCCCCACGCTCGCCGGCCCCTAGCTTGTCGGCCCCTTGCTCGCCGGCCCCCAGCTTCGCCGTCCCCAGCTCCGCGGGCCCCAGCTCCGCCAACCCCAGCACCGCCGGTCCCAGCTTCGTCGGCCCCAGCCCGCGCCGCCCCCGCACCGTCGAGCCGCCGATTCATCGTGCCGCCGAGTCGCCGTCCTGCCGGGCCGCAGTGCCACCGTGACCCCGTGTCGCTGAGCCGCCGAGCCGCTCTGCCGCCCCGACCTGCCGGCCTTGGCTCCCCTCTGAGTTGGCACTCCCACCGGCTGTCTCCACCGCTCTTCACTGCACTCCACCGCTCTCCTCCGCACTCCACCGCACTCCATCGCTCTTCACTACACTCCACCACTCTCAACTGCTCTCCACCGCTCTCCACCGCCCTCCGCCGCTTTCCTCCCCCTTCTAGCGGCAGTCTGCTGCTGCAGCCGTAGTGATGGCGGACTCTGTGCTCCGCCTGGACGCAGAGGGTCGGGCGGTTGATTTTGTGGCGAGGCTCGTTGACCTCCGCCGCCAGCTGACCGGTCAGCGCCAAGACGGCTACTCCTGGCCGTCCATGTCGACGGTAAGCTCCACTGCCCCGCCGCGCCTGCTGCCCTCCCTGACACCCCCACGTCTTCTGAGTGTGAGGCCTTTGCCGCTGCTGAGCTTGCCCGCATTGTCTGGGAGTCGCGCGACGCAGTCGCACAGCTTGCCATTAGTCACGCCCTCCCCCTGTCTGAGCGTCCGTGCTTTCCCGCTGTAGCAAATGCAAAGGAGTACTTAGACGTGGTCATTGCATGCTATTCCACTTCCTCCTCCGCCTCTGCCGACTGTCTGATCCTCCCCATACTATTCCCTGATCTTGCGTCCTTCGCCACTGTCACTGACCTTGCCATCCATCTCCGCGCACTTGAGACTAGCTACCGCGCTGCTAGCACTAAGGCACAGCTACTGCATTCCCGCCGCCGTTTTGCACTACCCTTTACCTCATTGCCACACGCCTCCCTGACCGCCTTGCCACTGCCCGCAACCACTTTCTTAGTCAGCACCAAGGTGACCTCACCCTTACCGCGATAGAGACCCGCCAGCGCACTATTGCTCAGTGTAGCGGTACTGCGACGGTCCCTATCTTCCAGGGCTGTGTTCCCTCCCAGTGCACTTACTCTGACGTTTCTTCCACTGTCGCTAAGAAAGCCCCTGCTGCTGAGACCGCCATCGCGGCCTCTGCGCAACTGCGTCTGGGTAAGGGCCGCCGCCCCAAAAGGGGGCGTGGCGGAGGGAAGGATGGCGGGGGTGGTGCGGGTGGCGGATGTGGTGGCGGGGATGGTGGTGCAGACGAGGGGACCGGGGCTGATTCCTCAGAGCAACAGCAGCCTTAGTAGTAGCAAAAGCAGTCACAGCAGCAGCAGCAGCAGCAGCCGTGGGGACCCCCACCGCCGTGGTGGCCTGGCGGCGCTGGTGGTGGTGGTTGTGGTGGTGGGTTGCGCAGCAAAGTGTCGGGTGGCGGCTCCAGTGTGGTCACCTGCCAGTTCCAGCTTCAGTCTGGCCCCTGCCGCGGCACCGTCTGCGACCATCCTTGTCACACCGCCGCCCGCTGCTACCGCCGCCTCGACGACCTCTTCCGTCTCCGCTTCGGCCCTGCGTTGGACTCCCCCGACTGGTACAGCCTGGTGCGTCGCCGTGTGCATGTCTTTGAGTCGGATATGGATAAGATTAGGTCTGCTATGTATATCATGTATGCAGATGACTCTAGTGTGACGGACCTGTGTTGCCCAGTGTAGGTGTACCCCTTGTGTGAAGTCTAGGCTCCCCTACTGCGCCATGCGTAGGACCACCTGCCTTGTTTAGCCTCGGCTCGACTCTAGCTCCTCCGCCTGCGGATGCTACCACCGCGCTCTCTTTCACGCTAGACTCTGGTGCGTATGCTTGCTTCTTTTGCGACCACACTACGCTCACGCCGCTTGCCACCCTTGCCGCTGTAGCACTTGTTGACCCCTCCTCAGGTCCGGTAGTTGCACGCAGCTCCACTAACCTTCCCTATCCGGCGGTTCCCTCGGGCTCTCTTACAGGCTTGCACATCCCCTCGTTCTCCAGGAACCTAGTTGGTGTCGGCTGTCTTCAGGACCTTGGTGTCACCACTACATTTTTTGGACACGAGTGGTACGCAGTCTGTACCGAGGCCGCCACTGGTGCCCCTCTCACACGTTCCCCCGGGACCCGGTGTCTGGCCTGTTTACCCTAGACATCGCGTCCCCCCCGGTGGGAGTGTCCCCCCATGTCGCCGCGCCCTTCCAGGTTGCTGCAGCTTGCTCGTGTCAGTCGCTCACCCACCCGTCGCTGCTGTGGCACCACCGCTTAGGTCACCCCGCACTCCCCCGTCAGTATCACATGTCCCATCACGGTCTTGTCTTAGGTCTCCCTGCATCAATCTCTGCCCTCCCTCCCTCGCTTGCACCACTGTGCACGCCCTACGTCGAGGGCCGACTGCACCGTGCTCCTCACTCCTCCTCGCTTCCCCCTACCACTGCGCCACTCCAGACACTGCACCTGGACATTTTGGGCCCATGCCCCGTCCCTGAGCTGCGTCCAGAGCGCTACTTTATAGTGCTTGTCGACGACTACACGCGCTACACCACGGTGTTGCCCCTGGAGCATAAGGCTGACGTGCTTGATGTTCTTATCCCATGAGTCGTAGCTGCTCGAGTCCACCGCGGCCTCCCCGTACTGCGTCTCCACTCCGACCGTGGTGGCGAGTTCGCCAGTGCTGCTTGGGAAGGGGTTGCTTGGGAAGAGGCTCGTAGGAACACGCTCTAATAGTGCCGCCCTGGGTTGCTCTTGTTTCCTTCGTACTCTTGCAGACTGGTCTTCAGACCCTTGCCTCAGAGGTTGGACTAGTAGTGCCACCTTGAGATGCGTGTCTCGTGCTCGTCGTTGCCCCTTGTCTAGCCTAGGGGGTGTGTCAACATATATTTGTATATGTTATAGGCTAGATAGGTGCATGCTCATAGAGAGTACATCACCTTAGGACAAAACCACCCTGTATCACTCATTTTACTTCATTCGTTACTCTGAGAATATAAGTGTACTTTTGGTACTGTAACTGCAGCTCTTAAGTGGAGTGTACTTGTGGCGTGTTGTGCCATGTGAGACACGGTTCTAGACGGGGTAATACATCTGCAAATGAATTATTCGTACCGGTATCAAGCATACACAACCATGCACCAGACACCATAAGATCGCCTATCAGAGTGATTCCTTGAGAGAAAGTCCTCATGTACCACGCCACTTCACCTCCCTTCCCCTATCCATCGGCTTACTTACACCAGCTTTAGCTCTCTGTGTGTCTGCCTCCAGTCCGACGGTATTAGCCCCATCAGCTCACCACTGATTTCTCTTCCTGTTGTAGTCCGCCCCATCGGCTATCTCTCTAGTCCCGTTTCATCTAGCCACCAGCATCTCTCAGCAGAGTTAGCCGTCTCTCACACACTCATGCTTGCTTCCCGCCTTCAGCTTGTACCCCTCATAGCACTTGCACTCAAACTGTATAGAGCTCCTGGCACTATTCACTGGAACACAGGTCCCATAGCCTGAGCACGGCCCTTTGCTGCTGCTTGCACCACAAAATTTCGTGCATGCTCCCCCGCTCCGCTGCTGTTTTTCCGGGCAGCTGGCAGTCTTGGACAAGCAGTTCTGCACAGCTTTCAGAATTTCGTCATCCCCAAACCCCTGACTCAGGCCGGACTCTTCCGGGCAGAAACTCTGCCCGGAAATAGTCAGCATGGGGTTACCCCAGAAGTAATTATACGCGAAATCGAAGACCATGTCTCCTTCGCCTCTCCCGATGTCGGGCAGCTTCCCGGAAAAGAAATTATCCGAGACATTGAAATCCGTCAGGCGAAAGTCGCGAAGTGCAGCAGTAGGAATGGCTCCCACAAAGGAATTACTGTTGATGTCCAAATGCTCCAGCGTCCCCGCAACTCCCGCTTTTAGGGCAGCCCACGGAAATTCCCCTGTCAGCTGGTTGTCAGCAAGCGAAAGATCGGTCAGGGGCGGTTTGTACGCGAAAAACTTCCACGAAACGGAGCCGTTGAGCCGGTTCCCCATGAGGTAAAGCCTGTTGAGATTTTTCATCCTGCCCAGGACGTGGGGCAGGTTGCCCGAAATTTTGTTCCAGCTCAGATCTATTAAGTAAAGGGATGGGTGACGCCACAGCTGAGCCAGCGACATAGTCGTGTCTTTAATCCCCGCTCGCTGCAGACTCAGAGTCTCGAGCCGCGACAGCCTCTTAATTAGCCTATATGGAAAGGCGCCTCCGATCTGGTTGTACGAAACGTCTAGGCTTTTCAGAGTTGGAGCGAGAGCGGTCAGAGCGCCGGGTAGCGGGCCTATTAATCGGTTCTCCTGCAGATTTAATTCCTCCAGCGACTTAAGTTGCGCCAGCTGGCGCGGCACCAGCCCCGTTAAGCGATTATGCGCGAGCAGGAGCGTCTTTAAATTTCGGAGGGAGCCGAGCGCGGCGGGGATCGGGCCGGAGAGTTGGTTGAGGTTAAGCGCGAGGTAAGTAAGACGCTTAAGACTGCTAAGCGCGGGCGGGATGCCTCCGGAGAATCTATGGCCGAAGAGATCGAGGGAGACGAGATTGGAGAGAGAGGAAAGGGAGCGGGGGATGCGGCCGCTGAACCCGCTGGTGCTGCTGCTGACGCGGATTGTGGTGAGAGTCAGAAGCGCGCCGAGCGTTTCCGGCAACGAGCCGGTGAGATTCGATCCGGAGATCTCGAGGTGTTGGAGGGAGTTGAGAGCGGTGATCGTAGACGGAATCGGGCCCGATTCCCAGAAGTTCAGCTCGATCTTTACGACCGCGCCTCGGGAGTTACACGTGACGCCTTCCCATTTGCTGCAGTCGTTTCCCGCGCGCCACGTGTCCTTGTAGAAGTAGTCGTCAAGGTACGGCATCAAGGAGAGGAGGAGCTTCTCCTGGGCGGGCTTGATTGGCGCGGCGTGGCTCTGGGTGCATAGAAGGCTTATAGCGAGAACGAGGAGAGCTACTATCGGGGATGTGAGCGAAGTTGGCGCTTTCCGCGGTTTACTGGGACGGGGAGCCATCGGCGCTTCTAGACAGGGAAGTGTTGCTGTTGGACAATGTTGCGATAACTTAGCGTGAAGCCGATTCCACTTTTATGACAACGCGCCTGACGTGTGGGGTGCCAAGCGGACAATCCGATTCCGGAGATGAGCCTCGACTCGACGCAGCCACAGTTGCGTCCTCCTTGCGTTTCCCTTCACCAGCCCGTGCCTGCTAAGCGGCGGGAACCGCACCACCAATGTACGGGTGATGTGATGTGATGTGATGTGATGTGATACAGTAAGTGATGCCTCACAGCAACGAGGAAACACAGCGAACGAAGGGATGGGCTGGGCTCGGCAACCGCTGGCGTGGAAGTGACAAGTTCAACTGGCAATGTGAATGTTTCTTTTTCAGGGGCACTTCAGCTTTGGAATCCGTTCAAGGTTTCCCGTCACTTGGCTTGATCTCTTCTTCCCGGGTTACTTAGGTCCAGCCGGATAAGACAACACAGGTTGGGTAGCTACTCCATGGAGTTTGGAGCAAGAACTGTACAACATCGGGAGTTCTAAGTTGATCGTCTTTAGAAATGGCCTTACTTACGGCTTCTCAAGTCCTTCCTAATATTTTCATTTGTATCACATGGGGCAAGTGATACTCCAATAAGGTAATTCAGGGCAGCCCGGGAGACTCCCAAACCAGACCTCACCAGGGTTGAAACACCCAAACGGCGGCTCGATCTTCTCGTGCGTACGAAATGCGACTCGAATGTTGCACGACATCGAGGTTTCGCCGGACCGCTCAAGTCCACAATGTGCGCTTCCCAGAGAGCAAAGGCGCACATTCGCGGTTCCAGATGACTGCGGCGACCGCAGCGAAACGGCCGATTGGACGGTGGCAGTAACTGTACGACTGAAGAAGGCTTCTCGCACAGCGTCGATTGGCCGACACCTGTCGCCAAATAAGCACAGACCGCACCTCAAGAGCAGTTTCCTGACATTTGACCGAGACTGACCCCATATACCCGCTACCTAGACCTCCGCATTTTGAATTAGTGCAATTTCTAGTAAATGAAACGAAGTAGAACAAATATGGGTGTGGTCTGAGTGTGAAAACCCCACTATCGGTTCAAGGCGAGTCGGGACCGACCAGGTGAAGAGAAATGAACACTTGATGGAAGATTTTCAGTAAAAAAATCAACACCTATTAGTGGAGCATCAACAATTTTAGAACCATTCTGACGACAAACATCTCCACGATAGACATGCACGATATGTTGAGGAACTCTAGTAATTCCTACTGCACCATGTCTTGAAGCCCAAAGGTGGGAGGGGGGAAACGCAAGTAGAGCCAGCAGAATCGGATCGTGGGGCAGAGGTAGGGAGAGGAGAGAAGCAAGGTGAGCTAAACGACCGGCGTAGGGCAGAGGGCCGGAGGGGGGAGTGTCAGGGGGAGGGCGGGGGAGAGTGAAGAAAGCCGCTGCGGCTGCAGCAGCAGCGAAAGCAGCAGCTGCCATGAAACCAGGGATGTTCCCCCCTCCAAATAAAGCATCAAACGGACCGATGGCTAGTGAGACAAACATCTGAGAATGGGACGGGGGGACAGGGGGACAGGGGGACAGGGGGACAGGGGGACAGGGGGACAGGGGGACAGGGGGACAGGGGGACAGGGGGACAGGGGGACAGGTGGACAGGGGACAGGGGACAGGTGGGCAGGGGGACAGGGGACAGGGGGACAGGGAGACAGGGGACAGGGGGACAGGGGACAGGGGACAGGGGGACAGGGGGACAGGTGGGCAGGGGGACAGGGGACAGGGAGACAGGGGACAGGGGACAGGGGGACAGGGGGACAGGGGACAGGAGGGTGTCAAAAGAATGGTGGGGAGAAGAGTGAAAAGGCAACAGCTGCCATGCAGGCAGTGCTAGGTTTTTTAGAATTCTCAAGAAGAAAAAAGCACAGCCCGTGTCAAATGAACAGACACTTTTTTCTTGCAAGTGCGAAGGAGTGAGAGTCAACCACAGACAGGGATCATCAGCGCAGTTACTGTGGCAACCATACCAAGTCCCGGGAAGCACTATAGAAATGACAGTCACTGAAGCAGATTCACCTGAGACACAGCACGAAGACCTGACGATTCACCGGGGGCACAACAAAAACACCTGGGGATTCACCTGAGGTAGGACTATAGCGATGTTGAGCAGACCAGCTGCCAGGCCCTGGCCTCCGCCCCCCCTGGTGGTGAAGGATGCTGTGAGGGAGAACGGGAGGCTGTAGGTCACCTGGAGCACATGGGGTGGGGTGGGGTGGGGAATGGTGGGTGGGGGACAAAACACTAAGCACAATGACGGCATACCAGACAGACCAGCTGCCAGGCCCTGGCCTCCGCCCCCTCTGGTGGTGAAGGAAACGGTGAGTGAGAACGGGAGTCTGTAGGTCACCTGGTGCACATGGTGGGTGGGTGATCAGGTAACAACGTAACAGTTATTGCAAGAAACACAGCACGCCCTGGCCTCCGCCCTTCTGGTAGTGAAGGATGCAGCGAGGGAGAATGGGAGGCTGTAGGTCACCGGGAGAACAGAGGATGAGGAAAAGAGGTCATGGATATGGTGGGTCACAACGCAGCGGCAGCACATGGTTCAGATAACACACTCCCGCCTCCGCCCCCCTGGTGGTGAAGGATGGTGAGAGGGAGAAAGGGAGGCTGTAGGTCACGTGGGGTGGACGGCAGGGGGTAGGAGGAGGCGCAGAGAGCATGGACAGCCGTATGGAGAGCATGGACAGCAGCGGCATAAGGGTAGGATGGGATATCCAACCATCCTACCCTTATGCCGCTGTTGTGGCATATGGGAGCAGTTACCACTCCCATTCGCTAACAGTGGCACACCAGCGGGTAACCTCCTTCTCCCATCCTAACCTCCGCACCCACTAGTGGTGAAGGACGCAGTGAGGGACGGACGCAGTGAGGGACGGACGCAGTGAGGGACGGACGCAGTGAGGGACGGACGCAGTGAGGGACGGACGCAGTGAGGGACGGACGCAGTGAGGGAGAATGGGAGGCTGTAGGTCACCTGGGGTAGTGTGAGGGAGAATGGGACAAAACAGCGTAGTCTAGCGCATGGGTCACATATGCATGCCTTGTCCTAGCCTGCTCTTTTGTGGTGAACGGTGCTGTGCGGGGGAATGGCAGATGGGAGACTTACAGCCATGGGAGCACCCAGAACAGCAAAGATGGAGAGAGCAGCACCATTGGCCACTGCTGACTGCCACACCCACAGACAGATGGCCGCGTGTGCTGCTACCATGACTCCCATGCTCCCACACTCATGAAGACCGGACTCACCGCCATGGGCTCCTCCACTGGCCACTGTTGACCGCGACGCTCGCAGACAGATGCCCGTGCGTGCTGATACCATCACTCCCATGCTCCCACACCAGCAAAGATGGTGAGAGCAGCGCCCTTGGCCACTGCTGACTACGACACCCACAGACAGATGCCCATGCGTGCTGATACCATCACTCCCATGCTACCACCCTCACAGCAGCCAAACTCACCGCCATGGGAGCACCCAGAACAGCAAAGATGGTGAGAGCAGCGCCCTTGGCCACTGCTGACTGCGACACGTGGGACAACGGCGAGGGGAGGAGCCGCGAAACAGCAGCGGCAAGGAGATGCGACAACGAGGAGATTAGACGCTGGAGCAATGGGAGGACGACATTCGTGTCCGTCGGATGCGGATCCAAGGGCAAAAAGGAGGAAGAGGAGGAGGAAGAGGAAGCGGAGGAGGAAGGGCTCTGCATCGTGCTTTGGAATGAGGAGGGAGGCAGGTGGACTGGATCCTGCAGCATGCTCCGACTGGGCTCAAGAGACTGCGGGGTCCCCGCCGGTCTTTGACTGCGTATGAGCTTCCGATGCAGAGAGAGGGACTCTAGAGGCCCTCCCAAATGCTCCTCCTGTCGCTGCTTCTGTTGCTTCTGTTGCTGCTGTTGCTGCTGTTGTTGCTCCTGCTGGTGCTGCATCGCTTCCCCACCCTGCTGCATATTCTGCTGCCCGTTCAGTTGCCCCTGCTGCATATTCTGCTGCCCGTTCAGTTGCTCCTGCTGCATATTCTGCTGCCCGTTCAGTTGCCCCTGCTGCATATTCTGCTGCCCGTTCAGTTGCCCCTGCTGCATATTATGCTGCCCGTTCAGTTGCCCCTGCTGCATATTCTGCTGCCCAATCAGTTGCCCCTGCCGCAACCATTGCTCGGACAGCAGTGGGAACTGCAGCAGACCAGCAGCCACTGTAGTGGGCTCAAGGCGACCCAACCCTGTGACTGAACCCACAGGAGCAGGATGAGTCCCTGTACCACCTGTGATTGAATGATTCGTGGCTATATGATTAGTGACTGTATGAAACGCGAAAGCAGCAGCACTATCAGCAGGAGCAGGAGCAGAGAGCACAGCAGGTGCCAGCAGGTTCTGAGGCATGTCAACAGCAGAGGGAACAGCAGCCGTGGCCAGCAGGATGTGAGGCAACTGCCCTTCAGCAGGAATCCCGGGAGCAGGCCCAGCAGAGAGCACAGCAGGTGCCAGCAGGTTCTGAGGCATGTCAACAGCAGAGGGCACAGCAGCGGTGGCCAGCAGGCAAACCGCCAGCATCAGATTCCCCACCGCCCACACTGCCCGAGACCCGAACCTCCTACAGAGAGCGTCGATCCTCAGGCTCGTCACCCCCTGCACCACCGAGTTCAGCACCAAACCTAGTGCCCCGAACCTCACTCCCCTGCTGTACGCCTTAAGAGCTGCCTCGCTAGCCGCTTTACTAGCCTCCCTAAGGCTAGTTGAGCCGCCGAAGACCTCCCGTCCCATCCAGTCGGTGTCGAAGAGGAGGAAGGGGAACCATGCGAGCCAGGTGATTGCCGTGACTGCCAGCACTCGTAGGACTGGGGGAGGGAGCTGCTGCACCGAGCTGACCAGCTCCCACAGGAGTACTTGCTTGGGCTCCTCCTCCCCCTCTTCCTCCTCCTCTTCCTCCTCCTCCTCCTCCTCCTCCTCCTCCTCTTCTTCTCCTGCCGCCTCTTCTCCTTCCTCCTCTCCTTCCTCCTCTCCTTCCTCCTCTCCTTCCTCCTCTCCTTCCTCCTCTCCTTCTCCTCCCCCTCCTCTCCTTCCTCTCCCGCACCTCCCTCCCTCTCTCCTGCTTCCCCCTCTTCCTCATCCTGACTTCGCCTTTCTTCCGCATCCTTCCCACTTCCTCCCTCCTCCCATCCCCTTCGCCCCTTCAACCCCCTCTTGTTCTCCCTCTCACCTCTCCCCGCCTCCTCTATCTCACTCACACCCAACTGACTTTCGTTGCCTCCACCACACTCCCTCCCACACTCCCTCACACACTCCCTCACACACTCCCTTCCCCCTCCCTCCGTCCCCTCCCCGACAATGCTTCTCCTTCCCTCCTCCATGTGCACATCAGGAGAGAGTGCTTGTAACGAATCAGCAGGGAAGAGACCTTCTAACGAGTCACCAACCGGCCACACCCCCCTAAGGCTGAACACCCCACTTGTCCCACTCTCACTGATGCCATTGCCACTGCCGCTGCTGCTGCCACTGCCGCTGCCGCTGCCAATGCTGCTACTAGTGATTGGGCCATGAACAGTAACCGGATATTGTGAAAGATGGACTGCAGCAGTTTCTGGGGCATTGGCTGAAGCATCAAAAGCTGTAGCTTGAGTGGCAAGAGCATCAAAAGCTGTAGCTTGAATGGCAATAGCATCAAAGGCTGTAGGATTCAAGGCTGTAGCATGAATGGCTGGAGCACCAAAGGCTGTAGCATGGACAGATTTCAACAGAGGGGCAGCGGGAGCGTGGTAGGTGGAACAACGCAAAAGAGGCTGGGTAATCAGATTATCCTCTTTAGAAGCCTCTCCGACAGAAGCAGAGGCCATTGCAGGGTTACCACCGCCACCAGCAGCACTGGTAGCAGTGTCAGCACCACCAGCAGCACCACCAGTTGCAGTGTTGGCAGCACCAACAGCACCACCATCGGCACCACCAGCACCACCATCGGCACCACCAGCACCACCATTGGCACCATCAGCACCAGCAGCAGAGAGTGGCTCCTCGGAAGCAGCAGAGACGCTCACAGCAGTCGACACCAGCAGCAGCACCACGTGCAGCATGAACGCCGCTTTCAGGTTCGCACACACACTGTTACACGCCGTGGTTACCAGCGAGAAATGCCCGAAAGGGCGGAGGAGGAGGGAGAGCGGGACGGAGAGAGCCGAGGCGAGGTGCGGGTAGGAGCCCGCAGCAAAGCCGAGCACATTGCCCAGAGCCATGAATGCAGAAAAGTACGCATTAGCTCTGCGGGTCCGTTTCCCCTCTGTGCCTGTAAAGGGGATGTTGATAAGGAGGACATAGGGGAGGTGCGGGTAGGAGCCCGCAGCAAAGCTGAGCACATTGCCCAGAGCCATGACGGCAGAAAACTACGCATTGGCCCTGCGGGTGCGCTTCCCCTCAGTGCCTGTAACGGGGAGTGATTATAACGAGAACAGAGAGGGAATAGATGAGGGGAGAAAGGGCATCGGAGGGAGAAGGGGAGAGGAGAGAGCAACAGCGAGGCACGGGTAGGAGCCAGCAGCAAAGCGAAGCACATTGCCGAGAGCCATGAACGGAGAGAAAGAGGCGTTGGGCCTACGTATCCTCTTGCCTTCTGTGCCTGTAAAGGGGATGTTAACAAGGAGGACACGGGGGAAGGGAGGTGTGGGTACGGGCCAGCAGCAAAGCCAAGCAGACACAATGCCTCTGCCTCCAGCAACGCCAGCAGCAGAGCAATGCCTCTGCCTCCAGCAACGCCAGCAGCAGAGCAATGCCTCTGCCTCCATGGTGGTTGAGATGACTTCTGAGTCGACTCAAAAGTCTTTTTGCCTACTTGCTAACCTGTCTACTGATGCCGCGCTCCCTGGAAGATGTCCAAGAGTCTTTTTGAGTCGACAAAAAATGCCTCTGCCTCCACGGTGGTTGAGTGCGCTGCGAGGCAGCGGTTTTGGGTTTGAGCTCGAGCTTAAGAGAATAAACAGTCGGTTTGATTCAAACCAGGATGAACTGGTTTCGGCTGTAAAAAGCCTTCATCATCAAGGCCAGCAGCAAAGCAATGCCTCGGCTGCATGACGAAACCATTAGTCACGTGTCTGCATGTGACTAAACGACACGTGTCTACATGTGACTAAATGACACGTGTATCCATGTGACTAAATGACACGTGTCCATGCCTAAACGGAAAAATAATAATAGCCAGAGTGACTTCCCAGTCTGTTCTTGGACCATGTACTATTTCCGCCTCACTCACCAGTGAAATCGGCCAACAGAGCTCGGCAGGGTCCCTGCAGGCTGTTGTTGGCCAAGTCAAGCAGCCTGAGAGCAGAGAGGGTGGTGATGATGAGTGGATTGATGATTCATGAGAGAAGAATCGATGGAGCTGGATGATTGTACCATCAGCCAGCGAGGCTATGCAGGGTCCCTGCAGGCCGTAGTTGGCCATGTCAAGCAAACCTGGCATGGAACGGAAAAAGGGGGGGGGGGGTGGGGGAAAGGGAGATATGAGAGCAGGGATGATGCTTGAGAGGAGAATGAGGGGAGAATTCCCCTCACGCACTAAGAGCCCTGAAAGAATCAGCTGCTCGTGACGATCGCCAGCACCATCAGCTGCTTCCCCTATTCCTATTCATCCCCCAGCATGTGCCCCAGGTCCCTTGAGAAGGCTATCAGCATCGCCGCCACCACCACCAGAACAGAGCAGGTAGGTACCCACAGCCCCGTCCCACCGCTTTCCCTCCCTCCCTCCCCTGATTCTTCCACTCACCAGAACCCGAGGATGAAAACCACGACTGCTTTTGAGGCGCCTCAAAAGCAGCCCCTGATTCTTCCTCTCACCAGAACCCGAGGATGAAAACCACGATCGCCTGCACCAACGGCCTCCCTTCCTCCACCCTATCCCCCAGCATGTGCCCCAGGTCCCTTGAGAAGGCTATCAGCATCGCCGCCACCACCACCAGAACAGAGCAGGTAGGTACCCACAGCCCCGTCCCACCGCTTTCCCTCCCTCCCTCCCCTGATTCTTCCACTCACCAGAACCCGAGGATGAAAACGACGACTGCTTTTGAGGCGCCTCAAAAGCAGCCCCTGATTCTTCCTCTCACCAGAACCCGAGGATGAAAACCACGATCGCCTGCACCAACGGCCTCCCTTCCTCCACCCTATCCCCCAGCATGTGCCCCAGGTCCCTTAAGAACGCTACAAGCATCGCCGCTGCCACCACCAGCTGCGCAGCTCCCACCAGCAACACCGTGGTCCCATGAACCCTCCTCCTCACCCACTCCCCAGCACCCGAGGATGAAAACGACAATCGCCCCCACCAACGGCCGTCCTTCCTCCACCCTATCCCCCAGCATGTGCCCCAGGCCCCTTGAGAACGCTATCAGCACCGCCACCACCACCACCACCACCGCCACCACCGCCACCGCCACCGCCACCACCACCACCACCAGCAGCGCAGCTCCCACCAGAAACAGACCATGGTCCCATCAACCCTCCTCTCCTCCTCTCCTCCTCACCCACTCACCAGAAGCCAAGGATGAAAACCACGACCGCCCCCACCAACGGCCGTCCTTCCTCCACCCTATCCCCCAGCATGTGTCCCAGGTCCCTTGAGAACGTTACAAGCATCGCCGCCACCACCACCAGCGCAGCTCCCAGCAGCAACAGCAGGACCCCATGAACCCCCCTCCTCACCCACTCCCCAGCACCCTCCCAGCACCATTGACCGGCCCATTTCGGCATCCACTCACCAGAACCCGAGGATGAAAACCACGATCGCCCCCACCAGCGGCCTCCCTTCCTCCACCCTATCCCCCAGCATAACTCCCAAGTCCCTTGAGAAGGCTATCAGCATCGCCGCCACCACCACCAGAGCAGCCCCTGCCACGATGAACGGCCGGCGCCGGCCATACGGGCAGCGACAGCTGTCACTCCAATGGCCGATCAGCGGCTGGAGGGGACGGGGGGAGAGTGGGGGGAGGCGGGTTGGGATTGGGGGAGGGGAGAGGGAAGGTGGGGGGAAAGAGAAGGGGAGGCAGAGATTGGGGAGAGTGGAAGGACATGGGGGAGGGGGGGAGGGGCGGGGGTTAATATGAGAGTTAGTCCGGCAATGCGAAGTCCCTTGAGAACGCTATCGACATCGCCGCCACCACCACCAGCACAGCCCCTGCCACGAGAAATGGGCGGCGCCGGACATACGGACAACAACAGCTGTCACTCCAATAGCCAATCAGCGGCTGGAGGGGACCGGGGGAGAGGGGGGGGGGAGGCGGGTTGGGATTGGGGGAGGGGCGAGGGAGGGGGGGGGAGGGAAGAGAAGGGGAGGCAGAGAAGGGGAGAGTGGAAGGAAATGGGGGAGGGGGGAGGGGCGGGGGTTAATATGAGAGTTAGTGCGGCAATGCAAAGTCCCTTGAGAGCGCTATCAGCATCAATTCCACCACCACCAGCACAGCCCCTGCCGCGATAAACGGCCGGCGCCGACCATACGGGCAGTGACAGCTGTCACTCCAATGGCCAATCAGCGGCTGGGGGAGGGAGGGGGGGGGGCGCCGGGGGGGGGGGGTCGCAGAGAAAGGGAGAGCAGAAGGAAGTTGGGAAGGAAGGGGCGGGGGCCAACATGAGAGTTGATTCAGCCACCAATCTATCCCCCAGCATGTGCCCCACAAATGAGAGGCACTAACGGCCCACAGAGCCAGATATTACCTGAACAAACAAGCCAGATAACGGCCCACAGAGCCAGATGTAGGAGGCCCAGGCATGGGGAATGCCGAGCTGCTGCACATAGGGAGTGAGGAGGGACAGCTGGAGAGCCCAGCCGAACTGCAGCCCCGCTGCAACTGACGCCACCTGCCAGAAAGTGGTGGGAATGGCCGATTAGAGAGGAGGAAAAAAACATTGGTTCAGTTTTTGAGAAAGCTAATAAAGAGTGGGAGACTGAGTGCCGAGCAAGACCAGCAGGTGATTAAGGAGAAGAAGGAACAGCCAGCCAGACAGGTATGAGAAACGTAGGAGAGGGAAGCGGTAAGTAAGAGACACGTGGCAAAAGGCAACAGGTCTTTGCAGCTGTTACAAGTTAGACAAAACGAGTCGGAAGGACTATGGCACAACAGAGAAATCTCCAATATAGGGGGTAAAAGTCGCAAAAAGAAGGAAAGGGAAAGACTTGCCAAAAAAGTCATTAAAACTGTATAAGGAAGCTATAAGTGCGAGCAACAGATACTCTCTTCTGCAGCCTCAAATAGCACCTTGGCTAGACCAATCAGAGGAACTCTCTTTTTAGCTCCAGCCTTGAATGGACGGCTCTGATTTCCTGCTTTGCTGCTGCATAGAGGCTCTCTCTGATCGCCTTCACCACCTGCTGGAGGCTCCATCTGCTCCTGTCCCCGGTACTAGCTGTCTGTTTAAAAGTATTGCAATCGGTTTCGGTTCGGTACTGTTGTCGCATGCTCTCTAGGGACACAAAATTGTAAGGTCGAGTGAGGTTTTTTCTACAGACTTTCACGGCAGGTCTCTGGCAAAAGCAAGAACGTGAAGCCAACTTGACGTTCCGGCTCAACTGAGACAATTTAACGCCCGATCCCGAAGCCTCCAGCAAAGCAAATATCGATCCCGCGACGAGCGGAGAGGAAAAGCCAGGCGGAGCTCTCTATGATGAAGGAGAGGAAAAAACGAACAGCAGATAAACGAGATGGCGACGATAAGAGAGCGGCGGCCAGGCAGGCGTTCGGCTCTGAGCTGAGGCGTGCCCCGAGATGCGTCCTCCTCCTACCAGCGATAACACCCCTCGTAAATCATCATCACCTTCTCTCACTTATGGCTCGGCGCGCAAGCATCCACAACTTGTCTCATGAGAGCGCCCAACCTCTCAGCTATCGCACTTTCCTTCCCGCCAATCGTATTGCCTTGTATGAGAGTCACTCTTGCCAGGCCCCAAAAAGTCCAAAAGTCCCCAATCAGGCCCGGAGTGGGCCTCCTCTCGATAGTAAGTCTCACCTTGATTCGATCAACGATTTTGCGAGAAGCTTCCAATCGCCGAGCTCCAGCAACCCGCGCGTCCCGGAAACGTCCCAGGTTAATGAAGGCAACCTCCAATCACAGCATGGCCAGCTCGTCCCTTGGGTCCGTAAGGGGCCACCTTGGTATTTGTTTCTATTTGAGGCGACTCCGGTCCGGTGTTATATTTTCAGAGGACCCAGCTTCCCAGCGGCGCGGCTGGTGGCGCAACCGCACCTGCGGCGGATCACGGAAAGCATGGTGTGCTTCGAAGCTGGGATCTCGCACCGCACTGGTGGCTGATCCGTGGAAAAAAGCGCGCAGCGGTGGCGTGCAATCGAAGTTCCGAGACTCGGACCTTGTACTGCCAGCGAACACCTTCTCGCGCAAGCACCGAGCAGGGTCAAGCCAGAGTCAAGCTGATGTGGATTTGTCACGCGTGACGACGGAAGCCCAGCTGCTGGCTTGAGCAAGGGGTCCGTCGCACATGCAGGGGGGCCACACCCGCCCTCCATGTCATCAGCGCGCTTTGTGGTGTCAGAGCGAGGTAGAAAGGATGCTGGACAGGTCAGCGGACCGCACGAGATCTCCATGGAGGAATGGAGCAGAAACCCAGGCTAGAGGAGAGTTGTCCCCGGTAGGGATAGAACGAGGTTTCATGGAGAAAACGTGTTCCACCTAAACACCTCTAAATGATATATTTATTTGTTTCCTGATTGCTGGTGTTGAGAAGTTCATGCTTCTTCTCGTTAGTACACTTGCAGAGAGCGAAATAATGCTACATCAGATACATATAGGGAAGTATGCTAGCACACTAAACAACGCTCTGCAAGTAGGTATCCTGGTTGAGCACCAACTCATGTCAGCTGACATCTGAGTGATAGTGCTTTCGGTCCCAAAAACATCTTCACCCCAAGATGAGAGAAGGGGCTGACTTCACATCTCATCACATTATGTACTGTAGTCATCATACTAAAAGCCTACAGAATGCAGCTTACTTGCACCTGCATGACCTCACTACAAGTAGAGTAACGAGAAGGGTTCCCATATATACAAATGCTGGAGGTTGTACACGGTGTGCCGCCTTCCCTTGCTGCTTCTGCTGACAGCTTCAGCCCCCCCCATTCTTCAAATTCCCTGGCCCAACCTTCTCCTCTCAACCTCCCCCCCTCCCCCCCCGCCCGCTCCCCTTCTCCCCTTGCGCTGTCAGCTATCCTTTCACCCCTCCAACCTTTCGTCTGATGCTGCCGATTCACACGCAAACGCGTTTCCTGGCTCCAAAGCGCAGCCCTTGTCACACGCGCAGGAAAACCGCCAGTTAGCCTTTCCTACCCACTGCCTTAGGCACACACGCGCTGTTCTTTTGAGTCGACTCAAAGGCAGGCAAACGCGTTTCCGGGCTTCAGCGCGAAGCCCTTGTCGCACACGCACGCAAACGTAGCCTTCCCCCCCACCGCCTTGGGCACACACGTGCCATGGCCTCCGCACGCGCCGGACTTGCCATTCGCGCCGCAGAAAGCGGCACACGAAGCGGGCTTGCGCTGCGATGTAACCTTGCAACCAGGCACCTGCGAAAGGCAGTTACGCGCGACAGTGAGGAACACCGTTTCGTCGTCGGGAGGCTTAGCCGTCTGCCCCTCGATCGGGCAAACTCGTTTTCCCCACGCGCGTATTTCCGGTCTACTCGAAAAGAAGTTGTCACGAACGTCGAGGTTGTACTCCCCTTCTGGATTGCCGAAATTCGGCAAACTTCCCGAGAAGAAATTGTTCGACATGTTTAGGACCTGCATGCGCTGCCCCGTGAACGAAATTTCTGGCATTCTGCCCGAAAACAAGTTGTGCTGAATGTTGAGCCATGCTAATTCAGGAGCTCCTCGAACCGCTGCCCAGGGAAAATTTCCAGAGAGCCTGTTGAAAGACAAGTCCAGTCCATACAGCTTCGGCTGATTGGCTAGCAGAAACGCGGGAACGGATCCGGTCAGCCTGTTTCTCGCCAGATTCAGGCTCTGAATATTTTTCATCTGCCCGAGGGTCGCGAGGATTCGCCGAGCGACCCTGTTCTGGCTCAGGTCGATGTCTTTCAGCTTCGGGTGGTTCGCGAGTGGCGCCAGCGAAGTAACGACGAAGCCGTTACGGTTGAGCGAAATGCCTTCCAGTTTCGTTAGCCGCAGCAGCATACCCGTGGGAAGGGGACCCCCCAAACGGTTACCCCCAGCCGTCAGCCTCACCAGACCGGTACACGAAGCCAGACTTGACGGCAGCGGCCCTTCCAGCCGGTTATTCACAATCATCAGGTACGTCAGCGCCGTCAGCCTGCCGATCTCCGTCGGAATGATACCGCTTAGTCGGTTGTCCGAGAGACCGAGAGTCTTCAAAACGGAAAGCGCGCCGAGCTTCGCCCCGGGAATGCGTCCCGTGAGGCGATTTCCAGATAGATCCAACGTGTCCAATTTCTTCATCGTACCGCCGAGAATAAACGCCGGAATTGGGCCCGCGAAACGGTTCCGCGACAGGTCCAAGTAAAAAAGGTTCGTCAAACGCGAGAGCGTGTTCGGTATTCCCCCGCTCATGCCGGGACCGTTGTCGCCGATGCGAAGCTCCTGGAGGCGGGTTAGGAGGCCGATGGACGACGGGAGGCGCCCCGCGAGCGTGTTGCCCCAGAATACGAGGCTCGTGAGGGCCGTTAGATTGCCAATCGCGGGCGGGATCGTGCCGTTGATCCACGCGCCGGAGAAGTCGAGGCGCGTGACGGCGCCGGATCTCGCGTCGCAGGTGACGCCCTGCCACGTGGAGCAGTCGGTGCCGGAGACCCAGGAGTCTGCGTATTGAAAGCCGGTCCAGCGGGATTTCAGGTAGAGGAGAATGGTCTGATCCGGTTTGTAGATTTTAACCGCTTGGCAGAGGTAGGGGGAACTACTAGGACGGCCGCCGCCGCTGCCGTGTAAGCTACTGCTGGTGAAGAAGTGAGTAGCGGGGGTAATAAAGAGGAGGGAGAAGAGGATTAAGGCGGGAGTGCTACTTCGGCTACTACCGAGTGACGCCATAGTTGCTACGAGAAGCAACTGGGAAAATAGTTGTCAGTAGCGTAATCAAGATACGTGTTGGACGGGCTCGGGCTACCTGCGAGCTAAGCTTCGCGAACTACGAGTGCGCTAGCAACTTCAACTTAAAAACATATCAAAAACATCTTGAGACCATCTTGCGATCATATATGCAGAGACTGATTTCTACTCGACCCAGAGGAGAGCCAGGGGAGAGCCAAGGACATGAAGGAAGGAAGTTGCTAGCTGAGGTAGGAAGGAAGTTGCTGGCTTGCGCAATTGGCGTGGCTGGTTGAGAGTCGGGATCCATCCTGTGATATTTTCCTCTGCTGAGTTGTTTCATGCGCGCTGAGGAATGGGCTGGGCCGCCGTCGAGTTCGGAAATCGTGAGGGAGGAGGAAGTCACGGGGTTGATTGAATAAGGAATGAAGAAATGCTGTGATGCGACCAAGTTGTGCTGTGCTGTGCTGTCTGGTGTCTGCTGTGCGCTGTGTGATGTGTGATGTGCTGCAGTGCAGACAGACCCAGAGAGCATGGAAGGGAATGGGGCGTCGCACAAAGAAGCAAGGAGAATGGCGCAAAAGCCGCGTCGCCTGCTCTCGTTCACTCCGCCCGCATGGCGCTGAGTGCCGATCAATTTCGACGGCTCCAGCTCAGCGGAAATCGAGTCGCGATGTGGCTGAGGTGAGCTCGAGACGCTGCTCCTTTGGAGGTGACTGCGTGCTGCAGGTGAAATGCCACGTCATCCTGGTATCGGCTCCGAAACGCAAAGCTGAGCTGGACGACAGCAGAATGAACAGCCACTGTACCGTACAAAACCAACTTTCATGCCATAGATATTTGTACTTCATATAACCCCGAAAACATGTGTGTGTTTTTGTAAAATCAGCGAAGGCTACAATACATGAGAGGCCCCACGATATCAGGAAAAAAAAAAACAACGCAAATTTCGCCTTTTTACAGGGTGCTTTACCGTACCGACCCTGAAAAATCAGTGTTCAATGTGGAAAAACCCGGGCCAACCAATCAGAAAACTAGAAACCCTATTTTTCAGTGTGGCCTGAAACGAATCAAGGGGGCGCACCAATGCATTAGAGGCAAATCCAGCTCTTACTAAGGGCCTCTATTGTAGTCGCCCATCTAAGCTCTCGAGCTGAGAGCCGCGGCATGTGTGCCCGTGCTGGTGGTGTCTATAAAATGCATACGAGTGTACTGCCACCGAGTGTGTGCTGGTGCAGCGCTCTGTAGTGCGTCGAGGCAGTGTGTGCAGAGTGTCGAAGTGCAATGCAGTGTGGTGCTGTGCGGTGTTCAAGGGTGTGTTTGGCCGTCAGGTAGATGAAGCGGTAGGTAAGGAAGGAGGGGGGGAGTTGGGGAGGGGAGAGGAAGGGGAGAGGAACTAGAGGGAGGGGGAGATGAAGGAGAGTGATGGGGAGGGGGAGGAGAGGTATGCGTGGAGGCAAGTGTATACAAGCGTCCGGAAGACCGAATGTGACTAAGGGAAGTGTGAGCATGTTGAACGTGAGATGCCTCCTGTCTCCTGGCCTGTGCTCGAGCCTCTTCTGACTGCACCAGGCGAGCAGCAAAGAACGATGTGGGAGTGGGGAGGGAGGAGGAGGGTGAGGTGAACTGCTGCTGCTGCTGGTGCAGTGAAGCTGCGTGTGCAGCAGTAGGGAACAGTTGGGAAGGTTTAGAACGAGATGCCGATGCAGATGGCGGGTTTATGAGAGGGAAGATCTGGGAGGGGTTAGGAGGCGATGGTGAGGAGTCCGTGCGTGGGAACAGCTGGGATGGGTTAGATGCTGACGTTAATGAGGACGAGGAGGATGAGGAGGGTGGTAGTCGCTTGGGGGAAGGTACGACTGGGGTAGGCTTCTTTGGTGGAGGAGATTTTAGGGAAGGGGGAGTCTTGAGGGAAGGGGGAGGCTTGCGGAGAGCGGGAGGCTTGAGAGAAGGTGGCTTGGGGGCCGGGGCCTTGGCAACAGGCGGAGGGAAAGGCGGGAAGGCGACTCGCTCTGATCTGCGCAAGGGAGGTGAGGGGAGAAAAGGGAAGGGAGGGGAAAGATGAGAGGCAGAGAGGGAGAGAGTGGGAGGCTTGAGAGAAGGTGGCTTGGGGGCCGGGGCCTTGGCAACAGGCGGAGGGAAAGGCGGGAAGGCGACTCGCTCTGATCTGCGCAAGGGAGGTGAGGGGAGAAAAGGGAAGGGAGGGGAAAGATGAGAGGCAGAGAGGGAGAGAGTGGGAGGCTTGAGAGAAGGTGGCTTGGGGGTTGGGGCCTTAGAAACAGGCGGAGGGAAAGGCAGGAAGGCGACTCGCTCTGATCTGTTCAAGGGAGGGAAGGGGGGAAAAGGGAAGGGAGGGGAAACAGGGGAGGGAGGAGAGGCAAGGAAGGGGAGGGGAGGCAGGGGATGGGAGGGGAAATCCGAGAAAAGGGAGTGAAAGCTGAGGGAAAGAATAGGCCGAGAAGAAGAGGGTTTTTGGTGCCTTGGCAACAAGGGGGGAGGAGGGATGGGCGGGAAGGAGGCCCGTTGAGAGACCTGCAGGGTTCCACAAAGTGGGGGAGTGGGGGAGTGTGATATGGTTAGTTAGTAACAAGGCATTTATTTTTGAAATGAAGCAGCGATATGGGCACCAATATAAGTTGCAACTAGTAAAAGCACCAATATAAACGCCGATACAAGCACCGACATAGGAACCAATATAAGCACCGATGTAAACACCAACATAAGCACCAATAGAAGGGCCACTGAACGCACCAAATTAAGCACCAACATAAGATCATATACAGAAAACAAACAGAAGTGCCAGTAAAAGCACGCGCAAGTGACAGACTCACCTGCAAAGTGAAGCCATGGGTTTCGGTGAGCCAGCAACCGCAGGGCCGTGGGGTGAGGGAAAGGTGGCGTCTAGCCGACTCAACATGTGTTACAAGCAGCATAACCACCCATACATGCAAACGAGAGCAATCGACTAACCCACAGAGAGCAGCGATGGCGTTGGCGAGCCAGCGGCTGTATGTATGGCCGTGGGGTGAGTGAGGTGTTCTCTACCTGTCTCAAATTAATGTCTCACGACCTACGAGCATGCAGGAGCGATACACTCACCCACAGAGAGCAGCGATGGCGTTGCTGAGCCAGAGGCTGCAGTAGGGTGGGCATGCATGCATGCATGCATGCCGCATACACAGTAGGGACAAGCAATCGGAGCATAGGCCGAATGGACTCACCTGCCATTCACTCGCAAGGAGCAGCCTTGGCGATGGTGGGCCAGCGGCTGTAGTAGGGCTCTGGGCATGCATGCATGCGTGCAGCATACGCAGTAGGGAGGGACAAACAAGCAATTCAAGCATAGGCCTAATGGACTCACCCGCAAAGAGCAGCCATGGCGTTGGTGAGGCAGCGGCTGTAGGGCTGTGGGTGGGGTGTCGTCCAGACGAGACTACTAAGAGGGGTGTGGGGTGTCTTCTGAGTGGGGCACCATATGAGCACGCAGGAGCGGCACACTCACCCGCAGAGAGAAGCCATGGCGTTGGAGAGCCAGCGGCTGTAGGGCAGCGGGGAGAGGGAGGACCACCCGGCTACCTGCGGTGGGTAGGGGAGTTTGGATTGGAAGGGGAGTGGGGAAGGGGTGAAGAGGAGGCGAGGGAGGTTGTGGAACACATTGAGTCGGCAGTTGCAGGGCCATGGGGGTTGCAGGGCCGTGGGGGTTGCAGGGCCGTGGGGGTTGCAGGGCCGTGGGGTTTGTAGGGCCGTGGGGGTTGTAGGGCCGTGGGGGAAAGCGAGAACCATCCTGCAACCTGGGGTGGGGAGGAGAGTTCGGAAGAGGTGTGGGGAAGGGGTGTGGGGGGTGTGGGGAAGGGGTGTGGGGAAGGGACTCACCCTGGGCATCGGCAAGAGGAGGCCTGTGGTGACGCCATAGGCTGAGATGAACTCCGATAAGAGAGGAGGCACTTGATAGAGTGAGAGAGAAGTGGTGTGTGTGTGTGTGGGCATGTGTGCATGCATGTGGGTGTGTGTGTGCCAGTGACTGCACCTTGGGCATTGGAAAGAGGAGGCCCGTCGTGACGCCATAGGCTGAGATGAACTCCGATAAGAGAGGAGGTACTTGATAGAGTGAAGAGGAGGAGGAGGAAGAGGAGGAAGCAGAGACGTAGGATGAGGGAAGGTGAGGGAAGAGAGGGCGGATGTCTGATTCAAAGGAGGCAGATGACGTACGGAGGGAAGAGGGGGAGGAGGAGGAGGAGAATGGGGAGGAGGAGGAGGAGGAGGAGGAGGAGGAGGAGGAGGAGGAGGAGGAGGAGGAGGAGGAGGAGGAGGGGGAGGGGGAGGAGGAGGAGGAGGAGGAGGAGGAGGAGGAGGAGGAGGAGGAGGAGGAGGAGAAGGAAGAAGCAGAGAGCACATCAGCAGCAACAGCAGTAGCTTGGAGCAGGGTGCTGGCCCGGTTGGCAGAGGGCGCAACAGACTGAGAAGATTCGCCAGATTGGGCGGCCACAACTTGGAGCAAACTGCTGGCGCGGTTGGCAGAGGGCGCAATGGCGATGCCAGAGAGCAGCAGCGAGGTGCAGGGCACGGAGCGGCTGCAGTTGAAGAGGATGGCATGGGTGCCGTTGGCCGTTCCTTTCACGTTGATGAAGTTTATATCAGTCACGGCTACTGCCTCCTTCCTCTCTCGGCATTTACTTGGAGAGGCGTCACAATAGAACTGAGGTGGAGGGGGGGGGGGAGAGAGAGATGAAGGGGGGGCCAGTGGGACCGTTGGCAGTGTCCTTGACATTGGAAAAGTTGATATCAGTCACGGCCACTGCTTCCTTCCTCTCCCTGCACTTGCTCCGAGAGGCGTCACAGTAAAACTGCAGGGGAGTGGGATGAGGGGAGGGAGAGGAGGGGAGGGGGAGGTGGGGAGGGAGAGGAGGGGAGGGAGAGGTGGGGAGGGAGAGGAGGGGGAGGTGGGGAGGGAGAGGAGGGGAGGGAGAGGTGGGGAGGGAGAGGAGGGGAGGGAGAGGTGGGGAGGGAGAGGAGGGGAGGGAGAGGAGGGGAGGAAAGAGTGAGGAGAGAAGCAACCACAAAGAGAGCAGCAAGGAGGCGCAGGGGACGGAGCAGCTGCAGTTGAAGCAAAGAAATCTAAAAACAGAACAAACCAAAACAAATAAATGATAATGGCGCACGTGATGTTGGCCGAGCCTGTTAAAGTCTGACTGTGTCGGATCGATAATGATAGGCCAAGTGAAATCAATTACTCGGATAATGTGTTGCCCACGTGGATAACACAGCACTAGGTGGTTTTGGAGTCGACTAAAAAATCCACTTATCAGGTTTATGTGTTTCCTACTTGCGTGCAGCTGCATACCTGATCGATTATTATAGGCCAAGTGACGTCAGTCACTCGAATGTCCCGGTAAGTCACGTTCGATACAAGCCCCTTGCCCCCCTGGTACGTCTTGATCCGCAGAGCGTTGTTGGACCCCGTGAAAGTCACGTTCCTTACAAGCACGTCCGACACACAGGCCGTTTCACGATCCTTTCCCAGGCTTCCAATGCTGGGATGGCAGTGATCAGGACACGGGGGGGGGGGGAGAGATCAGCTTTACTTCCCCAAGCTTCCGATGCTGGGATGGGAGTGATAAGGAAACGGGGGGGGGAGAGATCAGCTTTATTTCCCCAGGCTTCTGATGCTGGGATGGCGGAGGAGGGAGGAAGGGGAGGAGATATGGGGAGGTGGTCTCTTGACTGCCCAAACTTTATTTTCCCAGGCTACCGATGCTGGGATGGGAAGTGATAAGGAAACTGGGGGGGGGGGGGGGGAGGCATGAGAAAGAATACAGTCTTTATCTGCAGGGCGTTGTTGGATCCCGTGAAAGTCACGTTCCTTACAAGCACGTCCTGCACACCCGCTGTCTCCCGGTCCTTGCCTGGGCTTTCAGAGCTGCCCCAAAGCTGCCCCTAAGCCCTCGTTTTAGTAAATTCAATACCTGCCCCTCAGCCCCCTTTTTAGTCAATTCAATACCTGCCCCTCGGCCCTCATTTTAGTCAATTCAATACCTTCCCCTCGGCCCTCTCCTAGGCTTCCTATGCTGTGGAAGGGAGGAAGAAAAGCAAGGAGGAAGGGAGCGAAGGGAGCGAAGGGAGCGAAGGGAAAGCAAACAAGAATCTAAACCGGCCCATTGGCTGTTGATGCGAATGCCTCACAACAAGCCGACTTTTGAATGGACTCGAAAGTAAGCCCATCACCTGTGCATGCCCTCACCTCATTCACAAGCCAATGTTTGCATGCCACGTATGCAGTACCATCTTCTCACCTCACTCCGTGGCCGTTGATTCCTCACACCTCCTCAGTGGCCGTTGATTCCTCACACCTCCTCAGTGGCCGTTGATTCCTCACACCTCCTCAGTGGCCGTTGATTCCTTACACCTCCTCTGTGGCCGTTGATTCCTCACAACTCACTCCGTGGCCGTTGATTTCCTCACCTCACTCCATGGCCGTTGATGCACACAAGATTCTCCACCAGCAGATTGTGACAGCCATCACCGATGGCCACGTTGTCATCTCCTGATTGGCCGAAGGAAAAGGACGATGGTTGGGGGAAACATGGCACAAGCCATTGGTCAACGACTGGATGACCTTTTGTTGCTTGTAGTGTTGACATTTAAGGGGGCCCTAAACCTAAACCCTGAACCTTAAAACTGAACCTGACTGGAAAATGAACTCTTGTTGGATCAATCAACCTTTTTAATGACACTCCAGCTACAGTTAATGCTGCTTATGGCGTGTATGCTCTACTGCAGTCACGAAACGTAAACAACAATAACACTTTGGTTACAGACTAGACTACAGCCCCTTCCTGTATGCATGAGTACACCGTACACCTCTGTTAGAATAACCTCCTCATATAAAAGCATTACCTTCTAGAAAGCAAGCACGGTGTGCTCTCGTTCGTTCGTCCTCGTTACAAGCACACTCACCTCCCTGCAGTTGGCTGTTTCGAATGACGCCATTCTCAACTCTGGAGACCTGAATGCTGTCCGTGTTGGGGCTGTTGAATGGGCTGCGAGTGGTTATACCCTCTATAAGCAGTCCGTTACTGGCATACACCTTGAGGTGTGCCTTGGCTGAGTTCCTGCAGACAAGAGGGTGAAAGTATTGGCAAACAACGAAGGGATGGAAACAAGGAGTAATAAATATGAGAGGCTAATAAAGACTGAAATAAACAATCTTACATCTATCCTAGGGCAACATGATGTGTTACAGCTCAAACAAAACTTACGTTAAACCTATTCCTTGCACTGTAGCATTATCACAGTGCATTAGGAACAGTAGAGTGGGTTTTTTGCTCCCCTTCGACCTCGCCCAAAACCCCGCGCCGCGTCCGTCCATCCACCCGCTTCCCCTGACCGCCAGATTCGCAACCTCTCGGAAAAACAAAAGCCCCCACGCGTTGCTCTTCCGCGGTTTCGGGTAACTTGTAACGTTGGCGGCCCCAGCAATGCCGCCATTGATCTGTTACGTGATGGGTCCGGGAGGTGGGAACAAGGGGGGCGCGGAACCAGCAGCGGAAGAGGGGAGAAGAGGGGAGGGGGAGGGGGATGGGGAAGGGGGAGGGGAGGAGGAAGGGGGAGGGGGCGAGGGATAAGTATAGGGGCAGACAGGAGACTGGACGGGGAGGAAAGAGAGGGAGGGAGTGGTGCGTGTGTTAGAAGAGAATCCTCAAAATCAAGCATCCACCCACCTCCCCCGCTCCCCCCCCTCCCCCTTCCCTTCCCAAGTGGTGCGTGTGACAGCAGGGAATCCTCAGAGTCGAGCACCCACCCACCTCCCCCCTTCCGCTCCCCCTTCCCTTCCAAGCACTCTGCCCGTCGACCCGTCTTCCTCCTCAGACCCCTTCACGGAAAACCTCCCTTGACGTCGACCCCATGTGCCGCACAGCGTCAGTGTTGTCTGTGCGTCCGGCGTCGCACGGCCCCTCCAGCTCAATCGGGAAGATCCGGAGTAACCCACTCCCTGAGGCCCGACCCATTCACTCACCTGAACCTGTAGCCCGGGGTTGCACGGCCCCTCCAGCTCAGTCGGGAAGATCCGGAACAGCCCGCTCGCGGGCACCGTGCCCACCACTCGCGCGTGCATCCTCCTCTTACCTGAACCTCCAGCCCGGCGCTGCACTGCCCCTCTCGGAAAGATCTGGAACAGCGCGCTCGCGGGCACCACCGCTCGCTCGTGCTTTCTCGTCTCGTCCCTTCAGCCCCGCATCCCTCCCCCGGATTCCCACTCCCAATGACTCATTCCATCCCTCCTCCACTTACCAGCACCTCCAGCCCGGCGCCGCACGGGCCCTCCAGCTCAACCGGGAAGATCTGGAACAGCCCGCTCGCGGGCACCACCACTCGCGCGTACCCGTTCCGCGCCTTTCCCCACGCGCACGCGGACTGCAGCGCGCGGCGGAACGCGTCCGTGTTGTCCGTGCGCCCGTCCGCGCGCGCCCCGAACTGTAGCACGTTGAAGATTCCCTGGCCGTTGATTGGCCACGGCTGGAAAAATGGCGGAGGCGGCGCAGGGGCACGCGGGGGGGTTTGACCGGCGGAGGCCGCGCGATTGGGGGGCGCAGGACCGGAGGGGGCAGGACAGGGGGGACGGGGAGCGCTGGGGGGAAGAAGTCGGCGGAACCTGCCTCGGATCCCGAGGCTGCATGAAAGCGAAAATGGAGGCCAGGCTCGGCAAGGAAAAGAGGCTCGGACCAGAAGAGATGCTCGGCGGGCTCGGATGGTTAGGGACGGGGGGCGGAAGGACGGCTTGGGGTGCCGAGTGCGGATCGGAAGGGTTCGGCGGAAGAACAGCCTTGCTCGCGGAAGCGTGCGGATCCGAGGCGGAGAGAGAGCGGCGGTAAGGAGATGGCTCCTTGCCGTCGGGTGTTGACGGAGCGTCACGGCGAACGGCTAGCCGGCTGGATAGACGGAGTCGTTGACGTCCGACGCCAGAACGGTGCGTCGTCTGATTCGTGAAGGCATCGCGAAGAGTGGAAAGGGAAGAAACCGCCGCCGCGTGCGCGACGTTACGGTTCGTAGTACTGTTGATAGCCGCATGGTAAGGCGCATCGATATGAGGGCTACGATCTGCTGAGTCGGCTGTCGCGATCGCGCATAAGAGAAGAATGGCTATGGACAGGGCCATTTTATAATAAGTCCAAGATCGAATGTAACCCGTAACGAAGTGAGAAGAGATAAGGCCCTCGGGAATGGCGTCTATAACATTCTGCCTTGATTCGGGACGGGAACTCAGTTAAGGCCTAAGAGACGAGGTCAGACTGTTAGCTGTCTCGTGAGATACGATTCTGGCCGAAAGCGGCTGTCACGGTCTACTCTAAGCCAGAACAGCTCCAGGCGTTTCTCGCCAGGACAGCGGCGGTCTCGCGCCAAGTCTGAGTTTCTGAATGAGCAGGATTCGCTACGCCACGAGGGTATTGAAGGAACTGCGAATCTGAACTCAGCCTGACCAACGCCAGCTCGTCGCGTGCGCGTATCCCGCTTGGCTGAAAAGGAGCAGTGAGGCTTGCTGGAGACGAATTAATTTCCATGGGTTTGAAGGGAAGTGGTGCTAATCCGAGCCAATAGGGGCGCTTAGGTTCGGAACATGTTCGGAACACCGCTCACAAAATCAAGCCGCCGCGGCTCCGCTGGCACAAGCAAGCCTGTTGTTTAGAGGGCAAATACTTTTCATTCTCTGAATATTGTGTTTAGAGATAGAACTCGAAGCTCGATAGTTTTTTTTAACGGAGACGCCCTTGATTTGTAGGGTTTGGTGCCTGCGGTCTGGGCCTGCTCCTTACTCTTTCGTCATAGGCCCTCCCTGAGACAATGGGCGGAACCCACTCCCCCTCCCACCACACTTTCGCTTCCCCTGGCCCCCTTCCCCTTGCACCGGGAGTTCCTTTGTGTGCCAGCAAAATAAAGAACCTTCCCTCGTCCGCACCCATAAACACAACTGAGCTTAGCGTCTCTCTCCCCCTGCACACACAATAACCAGTTTCGGTTCGGCTGCTAAGAGCCTTTCTTCAGCAAGCCCGGGCAGCTAAGTTTTGGTCCCACACCAGTTGGCAAACCCTGCTTGCGCGATCAACAGCCTAGCAAGGGGGGCGTGACGAACCGAATCAGCCCCACCTGACCACCACAACCTCTTCCAACCAAGTGCCTTACAACGTGAGGTTCGGCAATAAATTAACGAGCTAGATTGCGGAGGTTAGGTTTGGTGGCTGGTCAAACCCAGGTTGGTTGTTTGCAGGGAGCCAGTGTGGCTGTTCGCCCAAACCAGGGCAGATTCACCCCAACCAGCGCGAGGCGGCCAGCCCTGAGAATTCTGCCTGATTTGTGCACTGTCAGGAACGGAATCCGAAGCTTCGTGGTGTCGGTGGCTGCTGCTGAAGATTCGCCACTGGTCGCCCCTTGTCCATCGACCGAGTCGCAGTTGGTTTCCTCTAACGGAAAAATATGCAGTACTGTAAAATCAAAACGTGCCTGCTCATCAAAGCAATATCAGCATTATCATGCACTCCAATAATAGCAACAATGATATAATGCGTTTCTCCTACCACAAGCCAGCACATCAATGATGCCACACGTCCACATATAAACCTCCCATTTGTCTGCATACCATGCCATCTATGTCCACATTCGACTCAATCCACTAAAAAAACCTCGGTGTCGCATGCCTAATATATGACGCCTTTATTTACTTCATACCGCCTCCTTTGCCTCTGCCTCGCACGGACCCTATTGGCTGCTCCTCCTCATTTCACAAAAAGAGGCTCTCTTAGTAGTGTCTTGTGAAATAGTGTTTTGAGTCAGCAACGGCTGATGTGGCAGCATGTACTGCTGGCGCATCTCGGCGGAACAAACTTCAAAACAGTGTTTCTAGTTCTTAGTCCACTGACCCTTGGCATTGATCACCACCAACACCCTCCTAGCCATGTTATCTACGAGGTTAGTGCAAACTTCTGCAGGGACCTTTTCCCGCTCTTCCTGGACCCACCCTTTTGCATGAGTGGGTGAGTGTGAGAGTACGACCCCATTACACCAATTTCCCCTTTGAGGGAACCCTAAACCCTAGACAACATTAAGGCATGGACTCGCCTCATTCTGAGACGCCTCAAAACCATCTCTCTCCTCCGAAGCACACAGCATCGTCATTGCCATCGCCATCAATCTCTCCGTCATCGTCGCCATTGCAACCGTCTTGGTCGACTTCGCAGCTTCCTTAGCCCTCTCACTCGTATTCTCGATCTCAGTCGTCTTCTCAATCTCAGGCGTCTCAACCATCATCGGTGCCTCAGGCGTGTCCATGGTTGTATGCTGCTGGTGCAGATTTTGAGACATTCCTGGATGACCAGGCATGTCCGCCGTGTGCTGGTCAGGCACGTCCGTCTGTGACGTGTGCTGGTGCAGATTGGAGAGCTTTCTGCAAGACATAAAAAAGCGTAACCAGGGCATGAAACACCTAGGAGTCGTGGGTCGAATCAGAGTGGTACGTGTATGTTTAGAATTGGTTTTTGAGAATTATAAAAAAACCGATACAGGATTTGAGTCAAAGCTGAGTGGTACAATAATGCGAGCCAGCTCAACAACTATCTGCATGGAAATTGGAGCTTTCTGGATTGAAGTGTAGTAGTGAGCTTCCTGTAGAAAGCTTTCTACATGAGATGTGTGGATGCCATTTACAACAAAGAAGAGAGTAAAAATCAAGTGAGATAGCCATGACACGTGAGAAATTCGTCATGAGGTGCTTGTTTAGGAAAATCACATCTTTAGCACAATGAGATAGCACACGTTACTATGAATAGAAGCAGATTACCTCTTAAGTATAATGAATCAGCTACAACACGCCTTGTGATCTCGTGTGGGGAACAGACCCATAGCCTTGACAAGCCACCACTTGTTTGTATCGTGCCTCTCCACGTGGGCCAATAGAATCTTGTCCTCCTGCATGCGCAAAGAAATATAATATCAGAAACATGATCAAGAGAACTCTTCCGTGAATAGGAGCCTTTTGAATAGCCATAGGATCTAAGGATCTCAGCACAACGAGGTTCTCTGACCTCCGGCTTCTAGGGTGCTCCATTGACGCGCCTCCGTCTCTCCTTATCCCCACCAGGAGTCTGCTTTCTTATTCCCAAACTCGACATAATACGTCTCATTTAGATAAAGAATTAGATTCAACCATGTTATGGGTTCCGGCCTTCGTTACACCCGTTCGCTTAACCACTGTGCGAAGTAACCAGAATCTTGCAGCGACTGAGAAACCAAGAACGCCGAGCGTGAAGGCTGAGACGGCTCGCGGATTTGATAAGGAGCTACTAGCTTAATGAGTATTGAGTCAGACCCAAATGCATTAAGAGAATCTGATACTATACATTCTTGCGAAGGTGGGAGGCTGGCTTAAGAAAGAAATGGTGAAAAAGGATGACCTTTCCCATACATTGTGCAGTAAGTGCGTTTGAGCGGCTGGAAACGAGGGTGAGTGCTTGCAGCATCCGAGGATCTATGGACGCTATTGCGGTACTACTAGTAGTAGAACCGTGCTAGTTGTATGCGTCGAATGCCATGTTGGAAACAAGAACGTGATCCTCCGGGGCCAGCGCATAGGACCTTAAGGTGCGAGACCAATCGGCACGATGTGCAGACTTCTCCGGAGGAACGCTGTGGAGAAGTCAAGTGAGTGAGGCTCATAGTCACGCTGTGCTGCTACGTGAAGCAGTGCCCGAAGAGTGGTCATCTTTAGGGTCGGGGCGAAGGTCTAAAAGAAGTTAATGCCCTCGTACTGACTGAAGCCTCTAGCAACATAGCATGCCTTGAACACCAGGGGCTCTCCAGGAGGGCGCTTCACCTTGAAGAGCCACCGACAATCGACTACGTTCACCTCAGATGGTGGAACTGCATCGACGTAGGTGCCGATGGATCTCCAAGATGCCATCTTTGCGTCCATGACAGCTATCCACTGAGACGCTCGTCTCAGCGTAGGTGCGAGGGGTCGGGATGTCAAGAGCGTCTGGGACACCCTCAGGGGCAAGGAGCATGGAGCAGAGATGAGAAGCGGCCTCGGATAGGAAAGCTAGCTCGTATTGCTTGTCCTCTAGGACGTCACGGCAAAGGGCAGGTGCAACCTCGGCGGACTGAGGACGGGCAGGATCAGAGACCAAAGCATTGGCATAGTCAAGGTGGCGGGTAGAGGCAAATTCGGTAACACCTGCGACAAGAGCGTTTAGACTAGAGACAGGAACGGACGGGTCGGTAACAAGAGAGGCGAGGACACGGGGAACAAGAGGGCGAGGAGCACGGAGGAAGTTAGAGAAAGGAGGCGGGGAGACAGCAAGAGATGACTTGGGAGGCGATGGGAGAGGATGAGGGGGAAGAGCACGAGACATGTGAGAACCAAGAGACATAGGGTGAACACTCGGAGCGGGAGAGACAGGACGAGCACGAGAGGGGCGGTGAGACCACCAGTGAGAGGGGGGCGTAGGGTCAGGAGACAACGGAGGAGACACACGGGGAAAACGAGGGGGGAAACGAGCCGAGGACGAGTCCGGCGGAGGAAATACAGGGCCATAGACAGGCAGAGGAGGCGGCACCGGGGGAGGCGTGGGCGGGCAGTCGGGGGAGGGAAGACCGAGGAGGCAAAGGGCGGACACTGACGGCGAGTGCTGGTGCTGCTGCGGCTCCGCGCCCACACCAGAACCTCCAGCTGCACCACGGCTACCTTCAGGACTCGCCACGACAGCACCCCTAGGATGAGCACCCCCAGAACTAGCCCGCCCAGTACTAGCACCCCCAAAAAGAGAACCCTCCAGAGCGTCCGCACCCCGAGTGGTAGCACCCTCAGAGCTCACGGACCCCTGCTGCTGGCGCGATTGCTGCTGCTGTGGTGGCGGAGGAGACACCAGGGCCCAGGGGGCAGGCGCCGCAGCAGCACGCAGCGGACCCTAAGCCTTAGGGCTCTCAAGGTCAGCAGACTCCTCCGCCGGGATAACCGAGGGGAGGGGAGTAACGTGAGACACACTAGACGGGGCAGGACCGGGAGCGGGAGCTACCAAGAGGGTGGGGACAAGGAACAGGGGCGAGGTAACCGGGAGACCTCGGTGGGGAATGCGAGTGTAGAATGACACTGAATCATCAAATGTGACCTCACGTGAGTGAAAGAAGCAGTGAGATGGCGGATGGTAGAAGTGCCGGACAGACGCGTCCAGGGGGAAGCCAAGAAAGACACAAGGGACGGTGCAGGTGGTGAGCTTGTCGGCACGAGAGTCACGGACGTGAGTGAGGCAACCCGAGATGTGAGACACAAACGTGTCACCAGGGGACCCAGTCCAAAGAAGGGTCGGTGAAAACTGTGGCTGCTGGGAGTGTGGCCACAGGTTGAGCTGGTGAGCTGCGTAGCGCACTACGAATGGCCACGGAAAATGAGGTGCACCAATATGAATTATAGAAGTAGGAGCCACCTCCATAACCAAACCAATTCATTGCTCAATGATC